ACATTCGATAAAAACTATTAACAAAAAACAGCTTTTAGTGAATTTGCGCCGTGGGAATGTTACGCTCATTATGATCGATAATTACTAATATCCGTGCAAAAAAAGCAACATGCTATTATTAGCAGCGATACACCACAAAAAGATAAGCTGTAATTCTATCAGCACAAACTTGTCTATTTTTTAAATTCCCTAAATTGAATTTTTTTCGGATGAAAGAAAGAGAGGAATTCTTTGTTGTTGTATTAAAAAGCATTATAGTGGATTTGTATTAAAATCATTTTCTTTAATGATTTCAATAAGGAATGTATGCTGGCAACAATGAGAAGACAAGTGATAAAAAATGATTGATCTATGATTGAATATCGATATTTTGAAGGAATTTTTACTGTCCGAAAAATTTCACACAGATCAATAATTAATGAATGCATAAGTAATATATTGCATGCAAAATTTAAAATGAAACCTTCAGGTCATTCACTTTAATTTCATTTAAAAACTTTTCAATTCTTTGAGCTAAAATTTGAAAAGAACTAATGATGTGAAATTTTTGAAAATTTATTACTAAAGAAATAAGAGAGAAATACACAGAGAAACGTCGTATTGTTCGAAATTTTTGTCACAACTGTTGTATTGTAGTAAATGCTTTTCCTATCGATATTAATTGACATCATCCGTTGAATAATTCTGTATTGGTGCGCAATTTACAGAATGGAACTCATTCTTTTTTTGTTTATTCCCAACATTTTTTGAAGTGTAATCTATCGATACAATCATCAATGGACTTTAAGAACTATTATTGGTGAGCATGAAATACTCTTATACTAATTGTTTTTATTGAAGAAGAAGATAAATGAAATTTAATACTGATTGATCAGAAAGAGAAATTGGTTGCATTAACTATCAAAGAATGAAATCAAAATGATAACAACTCATGCTTCGTATGACAACGAAGCAATTTTGTTCTTCTTGCATGAAATTTCAATAGGTTATCCTAATGCCTCCATGAAATTTTTTTCTTTTTATAAAAATTGTCTCGAAAAAAAAATTTATTTGATAAAATGGATATTATGAAGAAATTAATCATTCTATTAGGGTAATTTTGAAAGACAAGTAAAGAAAAAAAAAACATTTTTGAGGTAAAATGTGTCTGTGGAAAATTTGAGTGCATTCGAATATTACATTTAAAAATTAAAAATATTTCGTATCACTTCGAGAATTTCTAATTTATGCTAATTTCACTTGTATTTTACGTTAATTTTGTAAATTTCAACTCTTTCAATTTTGATCAAGATTGAGATTTAACACTATAAATTGCACGTATGAGCAAAATTAGTTTAATATTGGCTTCTGTCTTCACTTTCGCCTTCCCATGTGAACATAGGACGCCAATATTAAATGCAATAAAAATTCTGCAATGTTTAGCTACTCTAAGAATCATTTGCAAATTTATTAAATTTCATTATAAAGAACAATTTCCTTGTTGACCGTACTTTTTTTAAAACTTTTTAGTTACCAGGAATGGAATTAATTTTACTTATACCAATTAAATACCACGATTTTCTTCTGTTACTTGTACTAAACCTACTCAGTTTTCTCTATTTTGTTTCTTTTCTCTCAATTAATTTGTCTACAGGACCTCAAGACTCAAATTTAGTCCTAACGTCAACTCATCATGTGAATGACCCTTCCAACAGCTCAACACATCTATTATGTGCAATTAATGTGCAATGTGCAATTATGTGCAACTGATCGGATAGATAACAAAAATAAACGATTCCAACAATTGAATTTAGTAATTTAAATGTGGATTAATTATTAAACAGTTTGCTAAATCAATTTATGCCACAAACTAAATCCATCCACATTCTTAAGCCTGATTTAAATATCGTTTATGAATTCAATTATATGAACCTGTAGTTTTTTTAAAAAAATATAAGTATTTGAACAGAAACATGTAAGAGTGATAACTTTTCATATAATTTGAATTCGAATGGAATTTGAATCAGCTTATAGAAAAATTTCTTTGTTGGCTTGTCTTGAAATAAACTGAAGAAATGCATATAAAATGCATATTTGTTAGCAATGATAAAAGAATTCATATAGATATAATGTGCCAAGTGAGACACAGTATCAGTAAGTATCAGATGCGCAATGCGTAAGTTAATGAATACGTAAATGAGCGTAAGAAATATGAGTGAATGTAAGAGTGAATGAAAATTATGCTTTAATTTGCTGGAGCAGTTGTAATTTGTGGTGATAAATTATTTCAGCTGATTTGACTTAAGTACTTAAAATAATTTCGATTTGAATTACAAAGCATTACAACAAATAATGTTTGAATTGATTTGCAATTCTCATTTCTTTTAATTCTTTTGTCTTTGTCCTTTTTTTACAAAAAATAAAAGTTCTTGTTATAATAACAAGCAACACATTTTTTATAAAAAACGATGAAAATACATCAAAAGAAACAATCAGTAAATCCTGGCATTTTACAGACTAAATATCAGCTCTGTCCTTTCCCCATTTTTCTATATTAAAATTTTTGTCCTTCATTTCGTTCAATTCCGAGTTTTATTTTTTTATTGTAATATGCAAAGAATTCAGTTTCTTTGATATGAATTTGACTTTCTATTACACTATATTAAACTAAATATATTTACTTCCTAAAAAAACCTTCTCTGATAAGTAATTAGTCCAAATAATTTAACTAAGCTGACATTTTTACACTTCTATGCTAAATAATTTGATCAATTCAACACAATACTTTCTCGCAGCACAATAAGAGAGATTTATTTCATTTTTATAATTGGGCGTAAATAGAGTTCATAGTATTGCCACATGTTTTTTTCGAGAATCGAACTCTTTTTTCCAAAAAAAAATCTCTATGATTTTTACTGAATTATAAAAGAGAAATATCTGCTTTCATTTCTCAAAATATTTCTTTTGATCATTTTAAATGTTTTTAGATAAATGAAGAAATGAACAAATACCATCAAAATATACCAGAAATAAATTATGAAATTGTTCTAATTTCTCAATACGAATTCCAGCATTTCACCATATATTGGCGTTAATTGAAATTGCACAAAGCAGCATCAAACAATATTTATTTAATTTGTTCAATGATCATAGCTAAAATTTCAAATTAATCTTATTAAGAAGGCAGAAGCAAAGCAGAAAGTGAAATATATCTTTTTTTTGGTTCTTTGGTTTCTAAGAAAAGATTATTTTAAAAAAAATTGCTTGTTTCGGAACAATGTTCCAAAATTATATTTCATACTGTCTGGAAATTTGGCAAAATTTAAAAAATGCGATCTATTCATTAATTCTATTTTAAATTTTTTTCCACTTTCGGTTTCATTCATTCCTTCGCTAAATATTGGTAAAATTTGTGCTTTTAACATTTTTAGTTGTAAAAAAATAGTCACCATTCTTTCTCATTGATTGTACTTTACTTAGCAATTCATTTTGTATCGGACAAATTTGAAAGGCATGTTTATTTGTTTATGAGGTTTTACAAATTCTCAACTTTTTTCCTCTTTCTTATTGGTAGTATACAAAAGTTCTTCTCTTCAACTTTTGGCACGTTTCTGATAATATGAATTAATGCACCTCACTTAACAAGGAAATGATTCATAAAGAAAAAAACAGATGACACAAGGACAAATGGTGACATGGGTGTACAGATCATCAATCAAAGGAATAATTTCTCAGTTGCTTCTTCCAATGTATCTTTCCTTTTCATCATAGATATGACTATGAAGTTGATAGACGGGAAGTAAAGAAAGTGATTGCCCTCTCTATCAAGTTATGAGAAATATGACATTCAGAAGGAGAGCAGAGGTCTCAGTTTTACTTCAGATCAAAATAGCTTATATATATCATATCATTATTTCTTTGGATCATATAGCTAAACTTTGTTGGTATTTATTTCCATAATAGGACGTATCGTTTGCGCATTCCATCAGATCTTTCGATGCACGCGTTGAAATCCTTCTGAAAAACTTTTTCGAATATATTGAAGAAGAATTAATGCAACACTAAAATGGTGGATTTTGTAATTTCGATAACTTTCAATTGATGTAAATGATAGTATCGGGTCTGAAATTACTTTATGCTTTATTATTCCACCAAATTTCATGGCAGTTCGACTAAATATTGCCTATGTCAAAAAATAGAACAAATTTTGTACTCTCATATATCAGAATTGTATATTTGATATTTTAGATCCTCTCTACATATTCATGATAGATTGAAAGAGTTGCAAATTGGATTGGAATTGGAAGTTTGGAAAATACGCAATGATGTGCAGTAGTAAATAAATCATAATTCATTGTGCCTACATATCAGTGTAGTGCAGTAATACTACCAGAATTCAGGTATTCATCGAGAATAAAAAAATGACAGAAGCGATAAAGAATGGATGCGAAGCAGTATTAAATGAGAAAAATGAAGAAATTAGTAACCACGAAATCATTGAACTGAGTACAATGATCGATAAGCAAAAAATTGGTTACTGTAAATATGGTCATGGCAAATATATTATGCTATTCATTTGTGGCGGAGTTGGCGAGTTTTAATACTTTTTTGCTTTTGCATTTTTCAACGAATTTTTATTGACAGCACTTTTTGAAAATAAAAGGAACTTTTCTTTTTTTCACTGATATTTTTAAGTTTTCCATAAGAATTTTTCTTTTTGCTTTTTTTAACAATCGAAGTCATTTTTACCGTTTATTGTAAAGGAAAAATTAAGCTTATAAATGTTTTATTTTCTAGAGTTTAACAACAAAAAGTTTTGGAAAATTCTTTTGTTTATTAACAAATTATAAAAAACGAATAATTTTTTTTTTGAAATTATAGGCTGTTATGCAAAAGATTTCCCAGAAAAATTGCTGAACTTTTTCAATCCTGATAATTATACAATTATTTGCATTGATCCACCTGGTTACGGTAAAAGTCGTCCTCCAGATCGGTATATTCATATTTTATTGCAAAACCATATTTTAATATCATAACATTTGTTTCGCAGTAACTCGTTTCTTCTAGTTTTTGTCTAAATTATTTACTTATTCGTATATTTAGTTATTCATTTATTCTCTCAAAATTCCATTCCATTCATTTTAAATAAACTTTTAGGCAACAAGAAGTAAATCGATGCATGAAGGATGCATCCTTTTGCATAAAGCTTATGCAGGTTTTACTTCCTTCTTTAAACATGTTAACTTTTCATCATATTAGTGCCGTAAAAGTGTTTGAGAGTGATTATCATTTAATTTAGACTTTAGAGAATATTGCGACGATTTTAAGTTCTAATAAATATCAATTGCATTGAACAAATTCTAGAAATTAATACAGTGGACTTATGTACATGATAAATAGCATCAGAACTTGCTAAATCACTGATATCACTTGGTCATTTCATCTAAAAAATATTTATTCATCGAAAGTTCTAATCAAAGTTCTTAGAAAATAAGGATTTAAAATATCCATTTTACTTTTCTTAAGATTACTTTTTCATTTCACTATTGCATTCAAATGTGTTCGAGCTAATATTTCATGATCTTCTAGCAATTGAATTTAACACCTTTCGTGGTACTTGGTTGGAGTGAAGGTTCTCGAACTGCAATCCACGTTGCTGAACAAGGGAAAAAACAGCTTGTCGAAGGTGCGATTTTAATGGCCGCAGGTACTCGCATTGATCAACGTGGAGCGCGCATTTTTCGTGGTATAATTTTGATCGAAATCGTTGAATTTCTCGGAAATTTGAAATGAATTAATGTTTTTAATTTCAGTGAAAATGAGAGAAGTGTTGTTATTCTACTTTTAAGTCTTAATAATTGAATAGTCTACGAAAAATCAGCCAAATTTTAAAAAGCTTATTTTGGCCTCTGAGTTTCAGGCATGCGAAATACAGATCAGTGGTTGCCAGATGCAATGGAAGTATATTTAAAGCATTATCCAAAGGAATTTGTTGAAAAGCAATGGGCTGATTTATGTGATGTCGTTCAACAGTGAGTGAGATTTACTTAGATTAGGACAAAACGTGAAAAATTAGATTTTAATTTAAGTTGATTTGACGTCAAAGTAAAAGTTCCAAATTTGTTCCAGCTTAATATTCCAAATATTTGTTAGGCAATGTTTTTTTAATTAAACAAATGTATTTCTCCGTATTAAGCAAGTGTATTTTCAAAAAAAAGCGGTAGAACTTCTGAAATATAAAAGAACAAACTACTTTTTTTTTTCAAGATTCTGATATTTTGGGATTTGCATTTCTTGACAAGAACATATGCAAAATAATTCAACATCAACATAGGTCGCTTTTCAAAATTTCAATTAAATTTCTTTAAATTTTTAGAGTATATGATTTGTTAGGCGGACGTTTCCCATCGGATTATTTGCTGCCCAACCTAAAGATTCCTGTTTTGGTTATGATTGGTGGTATGGATAGATTTTGTGCCGATCCCAAATACTTTGAAACAGTAATTGCTAATTGCAGGTGTGTTTTTAAAGGATTTATTGTAAGTTATGACACCATTTTATGTGTTTCAACTGTTGCCAGCCATTAAAATAATTGGAAAAATTTTTTAATAATGTTTAATAATATAAAGTATCAAAAAAAATAGTATAGAAAATTTTTTAGATTTTAGTCTTTGCGCCGAATACAAAGAGATTTAATTTATTCAATGAATTATTTTCAGAATTGAGAAGCATTCACTTGGTGGCCATGACTTCTATTTGAAGTATCCACGATGGTTTACAGATAAAGTTAATGAATTTATTACTAAAAATAATTTTTTCTGCTAATTTCCATGTAACTATTTATAAGAACGAAGTAAGGTTTAGCTAACTATTGTTTCTTTTTATTTAAATGGTAAACAAAAAGTCAATATTTTTGTATTCTTCCGTTTTTATCCGATAAAATATGCATTTTTTTATCACTATATTAACAGAACATTAAATAACAAATACTCCAAAAAATTCAACAGCGCTAATTTTTAGACTTCAAAAATTGGCTCCAAAAGTTTTGCTTAAATGTTTTTAATCACTTTTAAAACAAGTCAAGAAAACGTAAATACTATTGATTTGATTGAAGAACAAAGTTCAAAGTTCAACGATTAAATGATAGACATTTGACAAAATGAATCATCCATAATACTTGCAGCACTTATGTTCCTCTTGAAGAAATTATTAGATAAAAATTGAATCGTAATGAATGATAAATCTTTGTGAAACTTCTGAAATAAGTTAGACTCAGCAAAAGACGCATTGACATAATACATTTAATGAGAAATTTTCCATTTTTAGAGCATAAATAAAGTAACCGTGGATAAGATTTTAAGCAGATTACTAATATGATTATTTTCAAAAAAACTCAGTTTTGATATTTTCATGGTAAAGAGAATGTGCTAAAAATGATATTTCCATGTATTATTCATTAGTCGTTGTTTATAAGTTCTATTATACTTTTTTAACCAAAATAAGGTTGATAATTCTGTACTAATAATATATAAATATTAGAAACACTGAAGTGATAGCATTTTAATCTCAAATGTGTCAATTGATGTGAACGATGCGAAAGATGTAATATAATTAGCCTTTGTTCTGATCGACATATTATAATGTGCATAAATTTTTGAATTTCATAATACTTAAGCCTTTAACTCTTTTGAATGTTTGTCAGTCCTTCTATTAAACTTATTTGTCATCGACTTTTCAACCGAAAAATGTAAACGGAACCGCTGACGAAGTCTTTGATTTAGTTGAGACACTCTATAGCAATTCGCTCCACTCAAGTCATCCAATGCAAAACGATCCGTTAGTGCGGAACGGTACGTTCGTTCGCCGTTTAACATGCAACAGTTTTCACGTGGTGTAGGGCCGTCTTACGTGACCGTGAGCACGCAACATTTATGTGGCCAGCATCCTTCTTTCGAATACTCCCTTGCTGAGGAGTTGAGGAAGTGCGTTTGAAATGATCATAGCGATATTTTATTAGTTCATACTTGCTGCTTTTATCATTTCAGGTTTATCAACAGTTCATTTTTTTTGTTTCAATGTGGCGCACACAAGTTGCCGTGAATTTAACGCGGAAAGAGAAATTGAAACAACAGCAGGAAGAAATGGACGATTGGGATACCGACCCAGACTTTGTCGTAGGTTTTCCGAGTTGCTACTAGTTTTTTATTACTTATCTTACACCATTTCGTCCCTTCTCCTTCCGAAATGTGCAGTTATATGTAGCACAGCAAGTAAGCATTCATCAGGGTATTCAGTTTGAGCTGCAACTTCTAACAATTTTCATCTCGAGGAAATGAAATTTCAATTCTTCTTTAAATTATGAACATATGAAATAATGCTCATTTTGTTCACCTTTGGAATAGAATTGCTGAACGGAAGTAAAATACAGAAATAAAAGCAAATGATATAGGTTTTTTTTGCAGTCATTATTGTGAGAATGCAATCACACATACCCAGTTAAAATTGGACTGACCTGAACTAGGACTAGATTTTCAATTCAAAAGAATTATTCATAGAAATTGTTTATATAAATATATGCTGTATATTCTGTAGACTGTAAGACCAATACTGGTTATAGGAATTGTTATTTTGATGTAAAATTCTAGAATGATGTAAGTGAAAAAGAGGGTCGCTGGGGTGCGAAAACCATTGAAGGATCTGGCCATCAGGAATCAGTTTCATTAGATCAATTGCGGAAAGAAGTAATTAAAAACGACAATTTGATAAGCGTAAATTTTATTCTTTCTTAAAATTAACCAATTCGATTGCATTATGTTTATCTTTTGGATAATTTATTTTTGAGTCCTGTCTGTCGATTTGTTTGATTCCTCACTGTTTGACTGTAAATAAAGACCATTTATGAATAGTATGATTTATTTTATGTTCTTGTATTATAAGAAGTTTTCATAAGATGGAAAGTCTATTTTTATCAACATTTTTGCTTTAGGCTAGGAAAGCAGCAGAAATGCCAAAAGCAAGTGAAGGATATGGTGGAAAATTTGGTATACAAAAGGATCGTATGGATAAGGTTTTATCATTTTATATTCATATTTTCGGTTCCAGAATTACTAAATTCATTTCCATTTTGTTGACAGTTAATTACATTAATAGAAATGGTTGTAGATGCAGAACTGATTCAGGTAAATTTTATTCTTATATTTCAAGAATGATGTTGAAGTTCTGTTTTACAGTGTGCAAAAACATGGGAATATGCTGGAAAAGTAGACAAACATGCATCGCAGAAAGATTACGCTAAAGGTTTTGGTGGGAAATATGGTGTTGAATTGGACCGAAGAGATAAAAGTGCTGCTGGTTGGGATGAAAAGATGGTTCTTTCTAAACATGGAAGTCAAATAGGTAAGGAAGATCTTGAAGAGTGCCTTTTTCTGTTTTTCTTTTTTGTTCCCTTTTTTGCTCACTTTCTTTTTTCATGTACTTGCTTCTATTCTCTTTCATAACGAAGAAAATACACGTTGACTCACAGGTCTAATTCAAAGCCTGAACGGTCGGATTCTAGATCTTTATCCAAAATATGTAGTGGAGAAGTGATGTTTAGAACTACAGCATCAAAGTGTTTTTTTTGTGATTTTGATTTGCAAAAAAAAAATCCAATTATCCTAAAAATGCTCTGCGAAGGAGGATTTCGATAGAAAAAAACAGTTAAATGATGTGAAGTAACATTATTGCATGCAGCAAAGAAATTTTGATTCTATGCAAACATAGGAAGAGCGGTTGAACATGCAGTGGGAAAGGGAAATATAGGAAAGTGTTGTTTCTTTAGCTCTCATTTTGTATCAACATTCAGTTTAATTAAAAGGAGGTAATACTCGGAACATAACAATTTACTGGGTCTGTATAGAATGATTCACAATAATTTATGGATTATTTCTTGAGCTACTAACAACCTCTTACCTCGTTTGTCTGTAGTAGTCTGTTATTGTACTTTTATAATCAACGTTTTTAGATGCTGCCTGAATTAAACTGCATTGAAAAGATGAAAAGTTAATAACCTCCATGAAGTATTATCAAAAATTTTTAGAAACCTTCCAAGTTTTGTTGTTTTGTAATCATTTAGTTTTAATTTTACGTATTTTAAATATCTTAGTATGAATTTAATATTGCAACTTTTCTACGCAAAATGTAGAAGAGAAAAAATCTCTTCCTTCTGCTTTTGTTATGTTTAAATTCACTGCACTCAATTATTTGTTACTTCAGTATTTTTGCACTGATTTTTAGACTATGCGAAAGGTTTTGGTGGGAAGTACGGAGTTGAGACTGATAGAAAAGATAAGAGCGCACTCGGTTGGGACGAACATGAAAAACTTCCACAGCATGAAAGCCAAACAGGTATAAATTTAGACGTTATTAATGAATCCTGTGTTTCACAGATTGAGTGTTTCACAGATTCAAGTGGTAAAAATCTATAAATAATTTTAGAACAATAGTTTACAGATTACAAGAAAGGCTTTGGCGGAAAATTCGGTATTCAAGAAGACCGCAAAGATAAAAGTGCACATGGCTGGGAAGAACATGAAAAGCTGCAACAGCATGAAAGCCAAATAGGTATTACTTGAGAATTTTTAAGAATATCTTCACTTATTTTTGTGGTCTGGAACATTTATTATACAGACTATCAATAAATTGCAGATTACAAAAAGGGGTTTGGTGGTAAATTTGGCGTTCAAGAAGATCGTAAAGATAAAAGTGCAGTTGGCTGGGACGAACACGAAAAGTTATCAACACATCAAAGTCAAGTAGGTAGGTATTTCCAAAATTCTTTTATTATTCTGAAGCATTTTAAATCAAAATTTCTAAAAAGTTTTGATCTATGTTTATCGACCAACTTTTTTTGATTTTCAGAATATCTACTTCTCTAATGTTCAACAAGTTTTAGATTATAAAAAAGGGTTTGGCGGAAAATTCGGTATTCAAGAAGACAGGAAGGACAAAAGTGCTGTTGGCTGGGATAATTATGAAAAACTAGAACAACATGAAAGTCAAACAGGTGGCGTGAATGAGTTGATTTCCAATTTCCTATTTATGTCTGTAGTAAATTCCATTTTAAATGTTTCGAAATTCTAGATTATAAAAAAGGTTTTGGTGGTCTATTTGGTCTGCAAGAAGACAGACAAGATAAATCGGCAGTGGGCTACCAGCAGCATGAAGAGTTTGCGCATGAAAGCCAGAAGGATTGTGCTAGAGGCAAGACTCGTAAAATTCACATACTTACATTGAAGTTTGGAAAGAATTCGATCGTCTTTGTATATCACTTTTTTTCTCTTACACGCGGTTTTTTAATAGAAGTTAGGTAGATTAGAGGAACTTTCTATGATCGCAAATCTTTTTTATTTCATAAGTGTTCAACCAACAACTTAAAAATTGATTTAGAACTTGAGTGCAAACTTAGTGTTCAAGTGATCATGATAAAGGCGCATTAGATGTAATTTTCCAGGAGAACAATCAGCGCAGCGGAGCACTTTGTCTGCTGCATCAAAAGGAAGAGCTTTAAATTTACGTGCCAAATTTGAACAACTTTCAGTTGCTAAGGTGTGTTTTTGAATTGGAAAAACAATCTTAAAATTAGTTTAATATTATAGCTTGATTTGTTTCAGTTTCTTGTGCAAGTTTGTCTTATTTTTTCAGAATGATGAGAAGGTGCTGCAAGAACGTGAACGTCGAAAACGAGAAGATGAACAGTTACGTAAACAACAGCAGGAGGAAGAAGAAGAAAGACAGAAAAAGATTGCTGAAGAGTGGAAACGACGTGAAGAGCTAGAGCAACAGGTTGATCGAGAATGCTGAATTTTATTTCATGAAAGATGATAAATATGACAGGGAATGAGATGGAAGTTGGATAGCAAAGATTTGAAAATTTCTTTATTTCAAGTCCAGGGAACCTTGAATATTGAATAGGGATACACTATTATGAAATCAAGCTTTTTCTTCTTGAATATATTGTTGGAGAAAAACTCTTGATATGTTTTTAAACTCTAATTTCTTTTTTTTTCTCTAATTTCTAAAAAATTATGAAATTGCAGATGGATCCAAAAACAATTCAAGAAGAAATACGAAAACATGAGCAGTTGCATCATACTGGAGGTTATTTTCTTTTTTTTATGGCGTTTTGGGAATTATACCTTTATAAAATTTAATCAAATTCGATATTGTTTTAGGTGCTCCTAAACGACATTCTCGTGCTCCACCCGGTGCCGTAGCTATAATGCCTGGAATAGTAGGGTCACCTTCTAAGTATGAAACTTCGATTGAATCGCATGTATTTTCTGAGACTGAAAATGTTTCCGCCACATCGGAAAAATCCCCACCACAGCCTGTCAAATTGCCACTTTTGAATCCTCCATCTAATAAAATTTTCAATGGGATGGAACGTCATGCTTCACATCGTGATGAAAAGAATGAAGATATTCAGAATTGGAATAATGAATTACGGAACAACTTTGAATCCATATCAGTTCATCCAGAGGTAATAGGGAAAAGATTTTTCTGTTTTTTGGTTTATTTTAAGTCCTCAGTTTCTTTTACTATCTTCGGCTCCTTTATGTCAGTAAATCAAAAGATATTTTTTCTGGAACTTTATTTTTTAATTGTTCAGATAGAAACGTTAGCGACTGAAAGAGGGATGTCAGGTGGAAATAGATATGATTTAGTACCAGGAGATAACGCAGTACCGTCTCCGGCACCTGTAACCCAGTCATTATTAGAAACGACTACTATGCATAACGAAGGACATGAAGTCTCGCCTTTAGAGGTTCAGTTTTTTGTTAGTCAAGCTTTGCTTCTGGATGGAAAGATGCGCTTGTCGCTTGGAAGTTTTATTTTTTTAAACCGTAATCATCATCTTTATGATGGGTGACAGTTATTGTTAAATTAAACTTTCAATTAATGGATTTCATTTTTAAGTGAAATCTTTATTAATCTTGAATTTAAGAATTGAAGTTAAGCTTTGTTACTGGTCCACTTCTTTTCAGTTCTGCTATTGTCTTAATATTTCATTAATTTCATTCCTGATTGTTATTTTTTTACGGTTGTGCGTCACGCAGCTGTCACATCAAGAATGCACTATTTCTTTATTTCAAGTGTAGCACTGCGAGAGATTTTACTCTTCAGAGAGAGCTATCGAAAATAGCTGCAGTAAGTGACCCACTTTCATCACCAACGCACCCGCTTGGTTCTACAGGTCTTACAGCTGTTGCCATTTATGATTATCAAAAACAGGATGATGACGAAATCAGCTTTGACCCCGATGATATCATCACTAATATTGATCAAGTTAGTTTTTTGTTTAATAAGGAAGACATTTTTCAGCCTTGTTTTCGGTCGGAAATTATCAAGGATAAATTTTTTTAACAGCGTAAAATTAACTGATTTCAGCTTCTTAACTTGGTTTCTTCAAGGCTACATATTCTTCTTGGAAGTTTTGTTAACATTGTATGCACAGAATAACATTTAGGTTGATGCTGGTTGGTGGCGTGGACTTTGTAATGGACAGTATGGTTTATTTCCATCAAATTACGTTGAATTACGATAAAAACTTACATCGCTTTGATGGATTGCTGGCCTGACTTTCTTCTGTGTTTTTCTAACTCTGTACAACCTATGCACTCTTTGAATATTTCCTAAGAACAATATTAATTCAAATTTCTTGAAATTTAAATAGGTTAACCATTCTTCAAATTACTATTTTTCCCATATTTTGCATGTTTTGTTATACTTTTATACTATAATTTCTTTCAGCCATCTTTATGTCAAAAGTTATATTCTATCAAATACTTTTTTGATGTAATGTTTTACTTGACTTGATCTAATTTATTTAATCCCCCGGCATGTAATTTAAATATTTTTCCACACTAATGGCATATGTCCATTGAATTTTATTTTTAATTATGAGTGTTATCTGAAATTCCATCCGATTTTAAACTCCTGCTATTACTGAATGATTTATAAGTATTCTACTTTATAGCTGCTCAAGGCTTGCCTGTCATTACATATATTATACGAAGTAAATGTCTCAAATAAATTTAAACAATCTTAAACGGTGCTGGATTTTATTTGTTTGAAATTTTTAAATAACTACATATTCTCTTTCCTGGTTTCCCTGGCATTTTGTGATGTATACACATTTGCGAACGTGCTGTTGATTCATCGCAATTACTCTGTTTTCTATTTCTGTTTTTCTTTACAAACAGGTAAAACTTAGGATTTACTCTATTTCTTCATGAAATGTTTTCTCGTAAATAATTAACAGAACTTATATCCTTAATAAGATATTCTGACTTTGAAAAGTTTGAGTGAATATTGTCAAATTCAATTAAGTTAACCTTTCAATAAAATAGTTTTTTAAAATTATCTTGCAAAATACACTATGTTCTGCTTCATTAAATTCATATATGACGCAGCGGTAAATTGATCCGTCAAAGAAATTGTCTGCTTTCGATGAAAATAGTAATTTTTGGTGTGAGTTTTATAAGCGTCTTTTTCTCGGATTTTTGTCAATAGATATAGTGTTTAAATGTGTTCCGTTATTAGTATTCTGGAACATTTTGATCGGAATAACTTTACTGTGTTTTACATATTAGTTTAGAACAAGATTGCAGTGATTCAATTAAACAGAATTATTAAGTCCCTTAAATAGTATCATGTTTTACTGATGTCAACAAATTGTAACTCCCATTTTCACAATATCACTTGCAAATCAGAAGAAGTTTGCATCAATGCATTATGCAAAATATCGAAGTAATTATCGATGTAAGAAATATAATGAATTTAGAGCTCATTCGTTTGGCAGATATGAAACCTTCACTGCCTTTCACTTGTTCAATGCGCATTCTGTCATAGTACGTTGTTAATAGATCTAAAATAACACCATTCGACCAGCCAAAGCCATCCTGAAATCCCAAGATATTTTATATATGGTTTTAAAATTATGTTCAACAGTGCTGAAGAAATTAAAGCGGGTGAAATCTCTGCTTATGAAATTTTTATTTAAAGAAATTCTCTTCGATTGAGATTTTTATTTAAAGAAGAAATTTTGGCTTATAAAAGAACTATGGCACAATGGTTTTTCATTCTTTTGAGATAGCTTGGGAATATATAAGTGCTTATAAATGGACAATTAAAAATGCATCCACCTGAACAAGATATTCGCCACCGCTACCTGGCTGTGGTATGCTTCCATCAACGTCATACTGAAAGAAATATGACCTAGCACTTCTGAATATAGTTTATGGGAAAATATATTGAGAAAAATTTCATAGCATCCGGTTTAAATTTCATCAGAATTCGAGATTTCATTAAACCATCAATCAATACATTCATAATTACTTAATTTTCTAATTAGCCATCTTTCTTCATTTCATTATTTTGTTAATGTTAGTAGAAATATTCACCTTTTCCCACATTCGACCTGTTTCCTGGAATACTTTGTAATTGCCCAAAACCCATTTCTTTGCCAAACTATATGCCTAAACATGATAATGTTATGTTTTCAAATGCATTCAAAAACAAACTTTAATATAAATGATCAAAATCAGAAAACTGTTTAATGTTGATCGCTTTATGGATACATATTATTGCACCCGTTCTTGCACCACAGGATTACTCGATTTTCTCATTCCTTCAATAATCATATGATTTGTTGGACCCCAACCATTTGGAAAATCCCATTGCTGATTGGTATCTTTAATGAGACTTGTGGGTACACCACCTGGATAGTCGAACACTCCCATTTTCTAAAAAATTTAAAATAGCTATACAGTAAATTGAATTCACATAATAATTTAAAAAGTCAAATAGATTTTAACACTTTGAGTTTAACATCCATTTTGAATTCTTATAAAGGGAAGAATTTTGAAAAACAAACATCCAAGTAGTTAACAATTTCTTGTGGCTTGGCCAAATTCAATGGTTGATAACATTCACCGAACAACGGTACCACAATTGATGGATAGAAATTGACATTGTGAGATTTAGTTCGCAAATTGTAATCGAACCAGGCACCTTCTGTGCTATTATAAAATAGCTGAAGCATCGCTTGACGGAGAGTTTCTCGTTTATCACGAAATATTTTCGATTTCGAAAAATTTCCTAAACAATAAAATAAAAAATTATAAAATATAAAAAAAATTAGGAAAAAAATGAATGTCAGATGTTACCAAATGAAATTTTTGCAAAATGGAAATTATTTGTTGAATGAGCAGCTTAATTGCTTATCACATAAGTTATTTATTAAATGTGAACGAAAAAAAAATCTTAATAGAATTCAATGTTGCTCTAAGAAGCCATCCTGAAAATTTACAGTAGTAATGCTTAATGTTATTATGTGTATATTTTTTTAACAGAAAAAAAAAAGTTACAAATGAGATGATAGTATTTGAAATTTTAGTTGAGTTTAATCCTTCTACAAGTTATGTTTGTCATAATTATTTTTGGAATTAGTAAATTAAAGTAGTTGATTAAATAATAACTTAACAGTAGTCTGTTCTACCTGTAGGATATGACAGTATTATAGTTTTATTTTAAAGTATTTATTCTCTTTGCTAATTCAAAAATACTCAAAATTTTCAATGTTTTCTTATATATGAATTTTAGCATATGGCATAACTGCTCGTTGCTGCAATTCTCTTCTGCTATTATCTCTAACATTACCTAAATGTCTGAGCAAATACTGTAAAATATCCAAATTCCAACACATAAAAGCATTTAAATCAATTGGAATAATATCGGTCGTTTCGATTGTTTCAATGTTACGGTTGTCTTTAAACCAACGAGAACTGAAATCCCATCCCGATTCTGCAGCTGATGCTGTGTCCTGCAAATAATATTTAAGGAAAGCGATGAAAAGCACAAAAAAATTAAAAACCAACTTTAGCATATTATTTTAGAGTTTACCTTCTATTGTGTTTTAGAAACTAACCATGTAAAATTTTGGTCTTTTATTTGGTGGAAGTCGTAAAGCGTGTATGATATCTGCACGGAATGATTCCGGTCGTGGTACATTACTTTTAGTGTGATATTGGAAAAGCGAAAATGTGTTTCCTTTATCATGCGATACATTGATAACCCTATAACTCAATAAACCTCTGCAAAATATTCCCAAAAATGATTTTTCAAAAAATCTAGAATTTGAATTTTAATGTTTTGAAATAATCAAAAATGATATGATCCTTCGAATTTCAAAACTTTCAACTGTTGATATGCATCATGTCAATTTCAAGAATGAGCTTGGAATAGATCCTGTTATTATAGAATAGGTCTGATTTCATATGAGGTTACTTCAATATTGTTCGGTATTGTATTAAAAATTCCTATTCTTGATATTAGAAAAAATCGATACATATAGTTCTAGAGCCGCAGTGATAACATCGAGACCATTTTTAGCATAAGGAAAAAAACTTTATATTGATATTTGACTACCTGTTATTTTGCCAAAATTCATATTCTTTGATGAGAGTGGGCAAAATTTTACTTATGAATGCAGTGTCATGTGTCAACTCGTAATATTCATAAACCATAGGGATAAGCAATGGCGGTTGTGATCGTCCCAAATAATAAATTCGACCACCATTTGGAACAAATCCGTACCTAAAACAAGAAATCCGACATGAAATTTTCAAGAAATCAATTTTCTTAAACAGTTATTAGAATTGGTAAATATTTATTAGCTTGCTAAAATAACTTTACTTATTTTTAAAAAATGGATAACATTCCTTTTCACTTAATTTATTTTGATTATTAAATGATGTAAAGTGAAAACAAAGAATGAAATATTACCTATCTACAACACTCACAAAATTGATAATCATTTTCTTGATTGCTTTCCGAAGTCCACAAGCAGCTAAACCTTTCACAATCCAATACGCATCCCAATAATAGAATTCACGGAATCGTCCACCTGGCACAATGAATTCTTCGGGGACATGAATTAATGAAGTTCGTTCTGGATTTTTATTTCGTTTCATCTGCAGTAATTGCGATAATCAATAATACAGAATAAAGTTTGTTCGAGAACTCATGGATCTTTTTTTATTGATTTTTCAATTATCTTCGCTTGTTTTTTTTTTTCGGAAATTTCATTTCACTCAATTCCTGCATGCTTTTTATAGAAAGCAAATAGCGCGCAATATTATATTTAAATACACAATTTGAAATTTCTCATTTTACTGAATTTAAAAGTTCTTCTGAAAAATTGCAAATTGATAAAAGATGTTTGAGTTTTTTTGAAAAAGTTACTTTTCGACATAATATTTTCCAAATTTTATTAAGTTTTAGTGCCCAATCACGCAACAATGGGTCCTGAATATTCATTATCTTCGGTGGGTGCTCAACCCATTCCGACAATTCACAATTTTCCAATTCGTTTCCGGATGGCTCGAAATATTCATGAACGAATTCTTGCAGTGCAGAACGATTAATAGCATGCAAGTCGTATTTACCGAAACGTTGATCAAATTCTGCTTGTACTACTTCTAAAACCATCCTGAGCTTTCACGATTAATATTTCACTTCTTTTTTTTGATTTGAAAATTTAGAAAATCACTAAAGATTTAGGAATTAATATAATTAAATAAAGCTCAGTCAAATTTTAACTAATAGATTACCATTAATACTAAAATTTTATCTTACCAGGATCAAATTTCATTGGCATATCCACAAAATATTTTGAATCTTGGAATAAACTGTGTACATTTACTGCTGCCAATAACCTTCCATAACAATAAATAAACCTGAATGTAAGCAAATAATCATCAGGATAAAAAATTTTATAACATATATTTAAATAAATATAGGACATTGTTAATATTCATATTTTGTTTGTAAAAGTTGATAAACGTACGAATTATTGGTATTTGTTTCATCACAGACATTTATGGATGTATTGCTAAAAGAATTTTCGGCTATTTCAGCCAATTTGACGATATCTGGATCGTTGGCAGTGTGCGCATTAACTAAGAGACATGAGAAAATTCCAAAGCTAATCACGAGAGCTTCCATTATCGCAAATTTTGAAAATTTTCTATTTCTTAACGGATATACATGCATGAAATTAGTGCATAAAAGAGCCTGAAAATATGCTAATTTTATGACTTGAGATTTTAAACAAAAGCTATTATAAACTTTATTTTGTTCATTCATCGCAAATTTGCAAGTTGATGTCAGTTAGGTAAGCGAGCATTATTTGCCTTGCAATTGTTTTCACAAATCTTTACTTTGTGGTTGAAATTTATTATGGAAATATTTTATTGCTTCCATATGGCTTTTATAAATTGATGCAGAGGATATGAATAAAAAATTTATCAAAATTCCAGAATATTCATAATTTTCTAACTTCAAATGCTCAAAACTATTTGTAAGTTCACTACATACCAGATCCAAAATAGTTTCGCATGCTTTAGTTTAATTAATTTAACGATAAATAAATAAGTAGTAATGTTACAGTAAATGATTACTTCTAACAGATCGTTTCAAATAGTTGTTAATTAAATTCTTTGTTTGTTTTGATATAAAATAGATTAATTTCTTGTTTGTTTTGATATACAAATATTTTTAAGTTATTCACCTCTCTTCAAGTTATTGAACAACTAAAATTTTCGATGATGACCGTCAAATACTGATAATGAGTGAAATTTTTTTTGTACATCTTTTGTCAAAATTTTCGAATAAATCATTAATAATGAATCATTTTAATTTTTTGCATCTTAGTATTCAAATTTAAGCATTCTGGTTATGTTTCCAATACTTCACAATACTTTTTGTCTTGAGCTTCTCTACAAAAAAATTTCGCTATAAAGATATTGAAATACTTTAAAAAAGTTGCCATTATGAGTTTCTTCGATATCAATATCAATAAAAAAATATTAGCAAAGGCATCAATGCATGTCAAAGTTAGCTTCAACAATGAATACTTCGTTTGCATAATACATCTCTTAGCAACAAAACATTTCCATGTTTACCATGGCATGTTGAACTTCTTAAGAATGATATTTATTCAACAAAATATTTTATGAGTAGCTTTATTCCTTTAAAGGTAATACACAAATTGCTTATGTACTTTTATCGATAACCATCCTTCCTATTACTTTAAAAATTGTAATGCAGAAATTATTTGAAATTCTAAAAAATTACTAGAAAAAGACAATCTCAATCAAAATTAATATTTTGTAGAATTTTTTTTCTGGAATTAATTGATGATTTATAGTGGTTTGTAAATAATGGCTTATTTTATAAAGACAAACAAGCAACTAAAATATAAATAAATGAGTTGCGCTTAGAATTAGATATTTTAAAAAAGCTTTAATATTTTTCTACGATTCCCAATACTTTTAAGAACCAATTAATTTCAAAAATGATTTCTCTGTTATAACTGTTACAGTAATATAAGGAGTGATAGAGATGCGAGAAAAATTGCATAATCTAGTTATGCTAATTTTTGAGGTATTATTTACAATTGTTGTAAAGTAATTGTTTCCATCATAAATAGATGAAAAGATTGTCAATCATGTCCAAAAAATCCAAAAATCTAATAATTTTTAGATTGATAATACGATATAAATTTTGTATAATTTAGAAAATTTTTTAGTTCAAAAATTTTTAAAGCTTAATAAACTGCACAATCTAGCTGTACTAATTTTTGAAGTATTATTGAATCTTTCAACCGGCGAAATTTGCAATGAGTGCCTTTTTTTACAAACAATTTTAATAATCTTTGATGATTTGATTGATTTTTTTTTAATAGTCTCAATAATAAAATAGTTTAGATAAACATGAGCTTTAAAACAGGAAAAAAATACACGATGAATGGTGACGATGAAATGAAAACATTATAGAAACTCGCATTATATGACTATTCAATGATGTCAACATGTAAAATGCTGACGCGATAGGCATGAGCACTATATTGCAGTCTCTTTTTAAATTATCTTCATAGAGAATTCTGATTAAGACTTTTTGATGATTTCTAATTGAGTTTTAACCTGGGCTAAATTCACTTAGAAAAGATATAACTGGGGTATAAAATATATTTAAAAGTATAAAATCTATTATTGTTTATTTCAAAAAATTTATCAAATCAGTGAGATGTTATTTTCATTACAAAAGTGTCATTTTGAAGTATTAGGAGGAATGTATGACAAAAAAAAGTAAAAGTAAAATATCTATTAAGAATAATAGTTCTTTTTTCAATTGGATGCAATATGTTTTCTTTCTTCTTGTTATTAACCAAGTGAGAGAAAGAAGTAGGGAAAATAAGCAGATTAACATTTCCAGGAATTACAGTTGTAAGCTTATTATATTCAGTTTGAATTTGAATTCGTTAATCAGTATATTGATGTGGCCTTTCAAGATTAACAGTTTTTAGATATCGTTTAGTTGATATTGCAAATGTTGCAGTTATTGCCGCAAACTTTATCACTATTGAGAAATAAAAAGCCAAATATGATTTCATCAAAAGCAATGAAGTATCTGTTGAAATATTGGATTTCTACTTTTAAGTTAGTCCTAAATAAATTTTTGAAGATTACAAAGTACTTAGGGTGTAAAATAATTGTAAAATGGAGAAAACAATACATGGTAATATTGGAAATCGAATTTAAATTTAAAAATTTTTTTTTCCAACTTTTGATGTAAGTTGTCAAGTTAGCAATGCACGCAAATGTTTGAAATTTCCAAAAATGCAGTCAGAATTCAACCAACAATTCGACATATTAGGTCTCTTAGAGAAATATATTTCTGGCGGCATTATTTTTTCTACTACAAATAAAATGAAAAATAATAAAAAACTACATTTTTAAAAACTACAAAATTCTATGGGCTAAATATTTTAATAATTTAGAACTACGAATTGAAACAGAATATAATTTAGATTTAGAATTACTGGTATTAGTGATGTGTTGTTAACCTAATTAATTATCAATCACATAGTATGATCAGCATCTATTTTGAAAGTTTTCCGTCTGGAATAAAGTTAAAAACTATTAAATAGAAAGAATTCTAGCTTTGATATATTGTTCTGCTTTCGGATATTTTACACTTTTATTAATCCGGCATGACTTTAATATCATTAACTAAACTAAGAAAAAATGCTTGAGCAATCAGAGTAGGAGTCAAATCGTTAAAAACACATTGTAAAAGCAAGATTAAAGATTGTTATGATGCAATAATGCAAAAAAATGTGGAAATACAGTATGGTATGGAATCCATCTGTTGATCGTAAAACTTCCACTATTGCATCAAATTTTATTAAATTTGTATATAATACATGCAAAAACTTTCATGATATCCTTCCTTACTATCAGCAAATATTTTCCCAATCAATTATAAGAAAAATTGAAGAAAGGAAAAAATCCAAAATGAAAATATCATTTCTAACAAAACAACTTTTTCATTATTGATTTTTATGTTTTTTCATCGTAAGAACAAACAGGATTGAGTGTATATGATACCATCTATTTGTTATATATTTAATTTTTGTCTCTTTGAAGTTAGAATTAAAGAAACACAATACTGATAACAGTAATCCGTTTTGTTCACATCTGTTCCAAGAACTAATCTTTGATCATTATTAACAAATGCATACATGAAAAATCATTTTTATAAATATAAGACGGAAAGGTAACAAGAATGATGTCAACAGGTTATAATTTAATAGTGAAATTCAGTCTTTCTCATTCTCTTACGTGACCTCAAAGGTCAAAATAACTACTGAACAGTGATGTTTTTTGCGTTTTTCACTTTTCATTATAAAAGTGAAAGAAATAAAATGAACGATTCTTAGTGTATAGTGTACTTTACATCGTTTAATGAGGCGTTCAAGTAGCATAAGTAGTGGCGGTGATAGGTGTTATAGCAGATTTTGAGTTTACCTTTAGCACAAAAATATAGATTACAAAAGATGAAAATTAATATTAGAACTGATTTTTATAAAAATCGTAAAAGAAAATGATAAGCAATATATTTCCCATTCTATTTACAAGTCATTTGAGTTTAATGTGATTCCAGTCAAAGAGGCTAAGCAAAAAATATGATGCTTTCGAAATGATTATATGTCGGTGAAGAAAAATGAAATCCATTAAAGTCCTTTTTTTGAAAAGTGCCCTAACTTATGGAAAAGAGGCGGATCTTGTTCATTATTGATTCTTTGACAAGAGACGCTTTTTATTGCTTCACCGAAAAAAGTTTCAAAAATTTAAACTCTTTTGGGATAAAAAGATAAAGGTGCAAAATGAAAGATTAGACATGCATACGTGAGAATGAAGAAAACAAGTAATCACAAGCGATGAATCCTTTATCCGCTATCATATTCTAATATTTAGCATATCATCAAAAATTATTGGAAATGTTTTTTATCATTTAAAGAAAAATTTCTTTTTCATCTGCTATAATTTGATGCAACAAATATATTACAAAATTAATTGGTGACGGTGAGTAAAAGTTAAAAAATTGAACTTGAAAACTGTCAGCCAAAACGAAACATCCCAAATGTTTATTTGCTTTTCCATTCATTTCACCCTGCCACATACTGAAAAAGCAAATTGGAAATCATACGAATGTCATTTAACGAGAAACTTTTTTTCTTTTTTATCTGCTAGAATTTGACGCAATAAATATATTATAAAATTAATTGGTGATGGTGATGAAAGTTAAAAAATTCAATTAGAAAACTTTTTTAAGTAAGACTAATCCTTCAAACTAAAAATTATAAATTCAAAAAATCTGCTATCCTTATTTGAAGGCACTGTTTTTATTCACATCCGCTCTCGATAATGCATTAGCTACTTTTTGGCACAAAAACTGTAATAGCATATTTTCAAGAAATAGACCATAAAGGTCGTTAGTAGAACAACGAAAAAAAAATAATTGAAAATTTCATTTTTTCACCTTCTCGGGTTAGGGATTAGCAAATTCTTGTTTCAATCTTTAATATAGAAACCACAAGGCTTATCACAACTTTTTTGATTAATATGATCAGTTTAATAATAGATTTCAGGAATATTATTACAGTGGATTATCATCAAATATCTTCACATTAGCAAAATCGAAACTTTTTCACTTTTAAATTTGAATCTTTAATTAGAGATCTTCATTTGGACTCTCATCATCCATTTGTGCCCATATTTTACCAGATCTATATTAAAGATTGAAACAAATTATTAAAAAATTCATCATTGTTATTTTGAACTCAGCTAGTCTTCCGCGTTCTTTATGATGTAAATCAACCTGATTTCTTCTTTGTTTTCCTGTTTCAGATTCCTCTTCCTTTTCATGTGACTACTCGAGAAATTTAATGGCACCTTGCTTTAATTACCTTTTTATTCAAATTCTTTTCGAATCTATTGTCTCGTATACTAAAGTATTTAATGTTTTTGGGTGAATTCAAGAAATAAACACTTCTACAAACTATCCATTTCCTTTCCCGAATTCTGATTAAAGAGATGATGAAGAGATTGAACACTTTTATAATTTCATCGTATGAGTGGACAGTGAGCAAGCATGCTAGCATTATAAGAACTGATTGGAGAAAATGCTTCGGAGAACATTAAAAAACTGAAGGATTAAGGAAAATTTAAGGAATCGTTGATAGGAAAGTAAAGTAGCGCATATTAGTGTAGCGTATGAAATAGCGCATCACGTGTGGCATTAAGCCACTTGGTGGCGAAGAAATCTTGAACCATGCAAAGTCATAGAATGACAAGATAATTCTGTAGTTTAATTAAGAAATGTATTATTCTTACGATTATTTCTATTCTTGAAATAATAAACTAAAATTAACAAAATATTTATGAAATGAATGAAAACAGTGAATCGAAGTATTATGCGTACTTTAACGCCTGTACGATATACTGATGAAATCCTGAAAAAAATAATGGAATAGGCATTGATAAAAAGAATTGGATTCAGAATGTAACACTTCATTGAGCGTCTTTTGAAGCTCGCATATTTGATACTCTGAAATATCACATAACTATGAAATAAAATGAACTTTTTTAATGAATGCAATAGCAAATGAACAGCGCACTTCGCATTGGTGCAGTTAAATGAAGCAATTGTGTGAATGGTTAGACGAGAAGGACAAGTTTGACAAGTGTAATCGAATTTCAGCTAACCGGATTGATGTGAAATATTCTCGACTACTTTCAATAATATTCATTTGATTCATTGTAAGTGGTACAAAGATTCATTTGTTGAAAAACATCTTAACCATTTTGTGCTATTTCAATGGTTCAAATTGAAATTGTTTCCGGATTTGAAAAAAGAATTATAGTACATGCTTCAACACCACTTCCTAGTTTATGGATTGCTCAAGCGATATAAATCCAAACAATTTATACTATGATCAAATAAGAACATGTTTAACAGTCTTTTTGTACTGAAATAATTGCAATATTTTTAGCATTTTTGCATAATAGAATGAAGTACAGCTATGGATATAGTATTGGAATAGTGATATTGATTGAATTTTAGAAAACAGGTGGAAATGTCACAAAGAAATAGCGTAAATTTTGTCCTGCTTAATTATGAAATATATATTAGATAAGTTGAAAACTACCTTCATCAATAGGCATAATTCAAGACTGAAAGATATTCACAAACTCTATCAAACGTTTGAATAATAACTTGATAAATGCGATAATTGGCCAACAACTATTTTTTTGCTAATTTATATGCCTGCAAAATGTTTTTTTTTTTTTTGTAATTTCAATTTAAAAGTATCTGTTCTGGAATTTCATAAATGACTCTGAACGTTTTGAAGCCTTGAAAATATTTTGCGCATTCCGAAAAAAGAGTGTTGAAAAAATTAATTATTGAATGTAGAATTGTTATATTTTCACATTCCTTCAATAATTATATATTACAGAGTAATCCATCCGCTCATTTCTCCCCTCCATTTGCTTGCAAAAGATTTACCGCTATACTATTTTAATAGTCAAAAAAAGTTTGGTCTGTAATCTGTCTTGAAAGAATTTTTGAAATCCAAAAAAGAACAAACATGAAAGAGAGAAAGATTTTTGAAATATAAAAATACGAATGTTGGAGGAATAGGAATTTGAAATTGATAGTGTCAACTAACGTTGCATTGGTGTCAAGATAGTTCGCCAGATTTATTCGGCTGTCATCTATCATCGATCGAATTTCATATAAAAGTGCTGTCTACGAAGAACAATATATTATCAAAATAAAAAATAAGAGAAAAAATTAGCTCTCCCAAAAAATTTAAAATCAACAATTTTTTCCGATTTCTCGTAATCCAATTTTGAATAGCAATGGGCAAAAAGAAGCATTATTTCTTATCACTTATTTTAAAGATATTGATATCTAATATTGTGTGTCATTTCTCTTGGAATTGAATTTGATATCATTGCAGAAAAATGCTCCTGCCAATCAAATATTTTAAAAATTAAACTTTAAAAATGTTTTAGAATAATTGAAATATCAAAATGTTATTACAAGAATATGGAAGAAAAATATACCTGTGCTCACTAAATATTTAAGAATATTAGCATTCCAGCAAAGTAATGCATTCAGATTCATTGGTGCCATATTAGTTGTTTCGACAGTTTGCAACATCTGTCAATTTCTAAAACTATAATTTATGTTTATTCATGAAGAATTCAAGTGACATCGCATTTCGTTTGACCAATGATTTACTACTTCATGATACAAAATCTATAAGCAATCTTTAAATGGAGCAAATTCAGGCTTATAATCTGATTATTTTTATGATATATCATATGCAAAGCTTGATATAGGATCAGTTTTCTGATCAAATTATTCTCTCCTCTCCCTTCCCCAATTTAGTAATCTAAAGGAAAGTATGTCAGAGTAATTTAAACTAGAAATTTGGTGCTACAAAAATTAATATCATATTCATTTTAATAAGAGCAGTGAGAATATTATGTGACGCCTTCAAATGATTCCTTCTTTAGAGTGTCAAATTTACATATTCTTTTTATCGCTTTAAAATTTTTGATTATCTCAATGCACACAAAATTTTATCACTTTCAGTGACATCCAGTCAAATTTACTTGATCTGTTTTAAATTTAATGCATTTCTGCCTCAAAATTTAAACTTATGCAAATGGGCCAAAGAATTATAAAAGCTAAAAGCATTGATTATGGAGTGAGAAATATATTTTACGATTCTCTCGAAAGGTTGTTTTCCTTTAGAATGCATCAAAGCGTGGTAACAGCGATCCAATGTTGCCTTATGTTAAAAATTGTTAGTGTTTTAGCTACCACATTATGTAAAAAGATTCCAAGTTCAATTATCTAAAAAATTATTTAATCAATTATTAGAAACAATTAAGTAAGTTAATATAACAGACAAAATAAGCTAGTAAAGCTTGAAAATCAATCCTTTTAATACGAATGAAAATTTCTAAAATAGGTTTATTTCTATAAGTGTTAACATTATGGTTATGCTTAAAGTTTCATGAAGAATTATCAAATTAATTCAATTAAAAAAGTCACAAATCAACTTAAGCAAATATTAAAATTATACAGGAAAAATTTTCTAACAACTTTTATGAAAATTTTTGCGTTTTCGAAGAAATACCTACGAACCAACGATTAATTTCGTTAAAAACTGTATTGTCAAAGACCAACAGGATATTATTTTAAATAAATGTGAACAAAGAAAAAAACCTATCTGTATCTCAAGAGCTATTTCTTAGTATTTCAACCTGTTTAGTTCTCATGTACCAAAATTAAAGCACCTCAAATGACTTATCAATCCTTAACAACAACAACAACAACGACAACAACGAATTTCTCCAACTTTCCAACAAAATGCTTTAATCCAATTAAAGCAACAGAATACGAGTTAGTTCTTGTTAAAAATTTTTGTGATAAAATCTCCGCTCACAAGATATTGTCATGATTATGCGAATAAGCAGTGAGGAAATGAAATATCAAAACATGTTAAAGTTTAAATAATCTTGGTAATAATAACTTGTAGGAAATTCAACAAATCCAAACAAATTGTAAAGTGTATTCTGCACTTTCAAAAGGATTGATTCAGTATGTCTATATAAAAATAAAAAATATACATATATTGATGGCTTGAAATCATCAATTCTTATGAGATTTCTAATTTGAATTATCCGAAGATACGGCAGCGGATTTTTTCCTCAAACTAACAATGAAATAAGATAATAAAATCAAGTATCTTGTGTATGTACATAGTACTTAATTTTGCGGTAGGTCATTTTTAATAAGAAAAAAAATCTTGACAGTAACACAGATGATATTTTTACATTACACAAGTTAATCTATACGTTAAAAATGCAAAAAATAGCGTGAATATATGATAACTGCATATAGTTTGCCTTTTTGATTAGGTGACTTCATTGACTTAGGTCTGTGTGTTATGCTAAATTAATAAAAGGCATATAAATCATGGCCTGTTGATATTTTGACGTTTTTGATCAGCCGAACAGAATGGTTGTTTATTAAAAGTTAGGATCTCTTGATGATACTTTTTATGGTTCCTTCAGAATAATTTCTTATAGATTGATAAACCAAGCCATATTTTAGACCGAAGTACAACTATTGCATTTATGGAATTAAATATTATCATAATAAGACTGGATTTGACGATATTTTATATTTTAACGACCCGGATTATCCATGGCATCAACGTGATATAACACATGAAGAATTTGAAAAAGCCGCTCAACCCCTTTGTGATGATTTGGAAATTTACGTACAACAATCTGCTCAGTACAACACTTTGTACTATGCCGCATGGATTATGGTAATGAAGAACTTTAAATGTGGAATTAAATAAGCTCTCAAACAATAATAATTTATTTTCTGGGCGGTTTAGATTGATTGGAATCATTTACGAAAAATGATCTGATATGCTGAACAATGATTTCATATTTAATTTTATTCTTTTTAGCCGAACATTTTCTTTTTCTAAATTTTAGAAGTCTAGAAGTAGCACATTGCTTTGGCTTATCTCTGAATGAACTTTGAAAGTATAATTTCTTCCAAATTTTTCTATGTAAAAATATTACAGACAACAGCAAATACTTATAACGATATTTTCTTTCTTTGCTGTAAACCCTGTCCGATAGCTAAAACAGTGGAACAGTGGAGAATCAACCTGAAACTTCAATTCCTACTCCGTCGTCAGTATAGCTTGATAAAGAACTATGTATTTCACGAAGTCCCCGATTATATCAATGATATTCAATCTTATATTGATGAAACTTATCACATAACTAATAGAATGCTTGAAATCAATGCTTCCATAAAAACATGCAATGCAAAGAACTTTGAAAAAGTACGCTCAATTCAATTATGACTTTTTTAAAGAAATAGGTATTTGAAGTTTCAAACCTTTTAAAAATCCCAAAATATTGACTATATTGACTTGAAAAATTTATTTGACGTACTTTCCCAGTGATTAAAAAAACAAAAAAATTTAATATCGCTAAGATTAAAATTTTAGCGACAATAAAACATCCACTAAACTGTTTTACTATTGATATAACACTGAAATCTCTATACATTCAGGTTCCGATAACGACCAACAACAATGTATGCTTTATAACCGCTAGTGACATTCTCGAACGGAATAGTTTATACGAACGACAAATTGAGCAAATACATAATCGAATGGCTTATGAAATCATTCGCCTCGGTCCGTACAGTGCTGCAGAAATGGAATACATGAATGAACTAAAATGCAGAATACAACACTCTTCCCATGTCAGCATTTTTTTTCGTTTTAATCATTGCATATAAGTTCAGATTTTTACATTCTTCACATTAATTCTCAAAGTCCTACTTAATTAAAACTTGCTGCTCGAAACAATGATAAGAAAATATTAGAATTATCACTAATCAATCAAAATGTCATCAATCTGATATTCAGTAAAAGAGAAAGATAGAGATTTTCAGGAAGATAATGAGTGTGTTGTGTGGATGACGTTTGACAAATATGGTTATGAGTGTTGTTGTTATGGTGATTTGATTGGCAATTGTCAAGGTAAGTAAATTTCAGGGCTAATTTTTGCTGATAGTTAAATTTTGTCGTTTACATTTGAAGATTAAAATTACTTCTCATTTTTCAGACCGGATTTCAAATAGTATACTGGTAGGTACTGAACAACTGAGAGCTTACAACGAATTTATAGCATGCGCTATTCCCAATCGCAACAGTACAAAATATACTTATAAGTATGATAGTGAAACGAAGAAAATTACACTCAGAGGAAAGATGGAAGATATTTTGAATGGAACACTTACCAAAAGTGTAACTTTTTATTTGACATTTTATGAGAACTTTACAGTGTTTTTGAATATCGATCGGTTTGAATAGATCTTTTTTCTATTTCTATCTTGTCCATTTCATTTCATTTCTTTCTTATTCTTCTTTACCTTTTCAATAAATTACATTCATTAAATAGATATAGCAATTTTCAAATTTAAATAGAACTGCTAATACCATATTAGTCTAATTTTGTTTTCATGCAACACTTTTCCTAACTTAATCCATACGTTCATGCTGCTGATAATTGATTTGATTTTAGTCGAAAAATATATAAAATTCGTATCCCTTGTTCATTGATAAATAAGTTTACCTTCTATTAGTAAAGATCGTTTTGGAGCTAAAATATACGAAAAATTCTTGTCGAAAAAATTTGCACTACTTTGAATTTATCTCATCTGCAGTACTGTCCATTGTATCTCGAAATTTCAAAAACACAATATAAATATTATATGTCGACAGACGAATTTCAAGTCAACAAACCTAACAATATTCTTACCGATGGATTAGATGTTGGATGCCATTATTATGCAAATTGGGATATTCGACTGGCAGATATTGTCAAGACTAGGTGTATTCAGTTAAAACGTGAGTGTCGATATTGTTTTTTAAAACTGAATTGAAGTGTTTCATTTTCATTTAGAATAGAAAATTACAGCGAATAAGGCATATTAAGTCAAATACATTTTTAAATTTAGCTCACTTTTTACTTGAACGAAATTCAAAAGTTGGTATCGGAAACAAATTTATTTTACTTGCTCTGATAAATGAAATTCTATCAAAAGTTGATGAATTTAAAGAAATTTATAGCATTAATGAATATGTGCCTAATGAGTGCTCCCTTAGCAACAGTTAACTTTGAAGCACTTTGTTGTTGCAATCACCAAACATTTTGCAATTATAATGTTAGTTCTTGTTTTCTAAACATGATTAGATGATAGGATGCTTTCGTTTGAATACAACAAACAGAAATTATCAGTGACAATTATTCTTCTTTCAAGCAAAAGTCAACTTTCAACTACTTTTGTTTCATCTATTCATTTTCAATTTTATTGTTTGTAACAAAATTGAAAACTTTTTGATCAAATAACAACTTCATGAATTGGTTCAAGTTGATTAAATTTAAGGTTCCTATATTGTGAGTTAATTTTTGAAATTTATGCTTTATTCATGCTATTAAGGCAACTGATTTAATTTTTAGGGCTTAATATTGAGCAAATTAAATGCAAATAATGCACTTTATTATTGCAAGTATAATACGCAATATCAATATTTGTTCAATGATTTACTCCTAATTGATAAACCGCCATCAAAGTCATGCCTACTGCATTATATTGATAACAGTACTCTGATGCATATGGATTCTCGTCTGCCCAACAATGACTTCGTTTTATTTCAACAACCAGGTTAGTTAGTCAGAGTCAGCTGTCATCTTGATTGTTTGGTCAGTTATTCCTCGAAAAATTCTTAACCATTCACGTTCTCATATAAGACGAAAGCCAAATCTAAAATTAAGTTATGAATTGGCCCATTAAAGGGCTGGAGGCATCAAAATTTTCTGTGATTGCAGCAAATCAAAAAAAAAGGAAGTAATTAAAGAATAAAAGAGTCACTTTATCGAACTTTCACTCCTTCTTCATATGAATTGCTCACCCTGTAGTGATAATTATAATGAGAAGAAAATATCTGCAGTTTAGAATGAGAAATCAGCTAATACTTGCTTCATGTATCTTTCGGAACAGATAGTTGAAATATAACTGATACAAATAATGGTCATACTTAATTCATAGGAAATGCATTTTATCCAATCGACTTCTCATATGCATTTCTGGAAGACGGAAAATGTCATTACGTCGAAGTAGAAGTGAGTGTTTGAAGTTTTCATCTATTTCTCAATCGATTATTTTTTTAAGAAAGCTATTTTGACCACCCAAAAGAAATAATTGGTTTCATTTATAGGTAAATTTTCTTTTATAGGTAAACTTTAATTATACAGATGCACAATCTTGCCGAGAAGCAGTAATGTTTGAAACGAATTACATGCCACTAAAAATTTTCGCATGTCGGTGTCGTACGAACTCGAACAGACCATGTGATGAAGAACTTGCAACAAAAATACAACATTTAGCCAGAAGTTGGGTTAGCAGCTTCTTAAATATTGAATAAAGAAGATTTCGTTTAAGAAAATTGCCACAAATATGAACCAAAAACAATATATTATATTATTGCTGATTCATATTTACATGGAATACATCAGAAAGGTTGTTTTTATTGATAGAGGTCAATAAGTATACTTGCATTTTCGAATACTTACCATTAGCGATGTGTCAACTACTGTTAAGGCGAATGATAAAATGAGAAGAGTTAAACAAGGAATCTTTTCCTAAGGAAGTAGGAAAGCATTTTAATAAATATTTCTAAACAATAATAAATGTTTGTGGAGAGATATTAATTAGTTTAACCTAACAGTTTAATTAGCTAATACATCTCCATAAACAAAATTGAAAATTTTAGCCTTTAACAAATTTAACACAATGTATGCAATATGACCAACAGAGACTTCAAGGTGTGTTGAGTGAAGCGAAAAGAATCTTTCTCACATATACATCCTATTGTTACACCGAAATGACTTTAAAAATGGATGAAAAGGGTATTTGCAATCTACTTGATCCGTTCTTATATTAATACTAATGATATTTGTAAAGACTAAGCAACAAAGTTGAAATACGCATTGGATTTAAAGTATGTCACATTATAAAATGAAAATATTACAAATCTAACTTTATTCTTTCCAGAAGTGAAATTTTATGTGTCAGGTGGTGAAGTGACACATACAGTTGCTAATAACGTTGGAAAACATTTGGATCATATCGCATACGCCATGTGGCTTGAGTAAGTTGCTGTTTGCTTGATGTATGCATTATCGTTGATCAGTACAAAAGGATATTAAGCATTTTATCTGAGATAGAATCCATCATTGCTCATGAAATCAGGCCTGATTGAGTATCCGGAATGAGCTTGTCCGTTAACATAATCCACTTTTGACGCATAAATATCCCATTACTCATTCATTTGCTTTTAAACTGTTAACTCTTTGCTTCAAGCAAAAACTTAAAATTAAAATCTGGATTTAATATAAAAATGGACATTTAAGGACGGGATCGAGATCATCACTTTGTGCTTCAATTCAAAAAGGACAAGTATATTGTTTCTGTCGTTCGTACAGTAATTATACTGATGCATGCAATGGATACGTGTGGGAAAGAATCAAATCGCAGAAAATTCTGATGCAGCAAGAACTCGATTTTAAGGTATGCTAAAAAGTATTTTTAATGAAAATGTCAAGAAAAATAAACCAAATGAGGAAAGAATGCCATATCTGTTTAAAGTAAAAACGAAAATTCCTTAAATTGCTTATTTCCAGCAATCAAATCAGTTTCTTGTTTGGAAAGTTAATCCGTGATAAAATATAATGCACCTTTCATTGAGCTTAATTTTTCAGCTCTTATCTTATTATAATTTAAATACTTTACTTTCAATTAAGAGAACATCATTTCACTAGATTGAAAGAGATGATGAATTGCAGGTCCGAAAGGAATATCCGAATAGGTTATCAGATCATTTGATAAAAAAAGGGGAAACATGGTGTCATTCTCCTAATGTTTATGGAACTTTGGATATTGACAGTAAGCTTAGTCATCTCTTATTATATATATATATTCATTTCTATTTCACTCGTTCATTTTCTTAGATCAACTCAAAAATGTTCATGAACATAATTATGATTGGGGTCATCCAAGTTATGACTGCAACTGAACTCAATCTATGACTCCTCCTTGAAAGGCAATCATGAGTGGAGTGCAGAATTAAGTTTTCATGAAGACTTCATTACAGTTTGTCTTGGACCAAATTTTTTGTTGGTTTTTTGAGTTACAGTCAGTATATCGATTTCAATTAAGTAATGAAACTGATAACTTAGCGTAGTGGAAAATGAAGACGTTATAACCAGCGGAAAATGTGTTCATTCAAAACAAAAAATATGGGAATTCGATGGTTAGCTTTTTTGCGTTTAGCTGATGTTCGCAGAGTATCATTTCATTTCAGGACAACTTTAAATCAAATTTTTCGAAAGAAAGTCTCTTTCGCTTCTAAATGAAAAAAAATCTAAAGAAAGTCCCATTCAATATTTAGTTGAAATTGAAATTGTTGGAAATTGATTAAATCAAAGATCTTTGACATAATTTGCATAGAGCAAAAAAGAAATCAATCAACGGATAGATGGGAACAATTTGCATTTTCGATTGATTTTAAATTTTAAACTTAATGATGCAGAAATTATTCGAAATAAAGGATAAAAGTTACAAATTCTACAGAACATCTATTTATTTATCAAAATCTTAATTTCTTTTTCTTTATTTAAGCAACATATAACTTTTAGCCTTTAATTAACTCATCATTATTAAAATATAATCTAACATATTCCATTTGTAAATAAAATTTCAAGAATCAGATTCCATCACTGCTAGATATTTTCTAAAAAGAGACTCAAAAACTATAATTTTTTGCAAATTTGAAAATTTAAAATACAGAATTTCAGTCTAATTTACTACTTTTTTTGTTCAAAATTACATCCTTTATAAATTTTCAGATGATCGTATATTTTGTGACGAGATAAAAGCTTTAGAAAATCAATGCTTTGCAAAGGTCGAGGATACGGATTATTTTCAAAAAAACCATTTATTATGCTGTTGTAAAAATAGGTGTGAAACGGTTGGATTCGTTATTCAAGCATTGGCAAAAGAAGTTTCAGACAGTTTGGACACATACTAGTAATCATTCATTCATTCCTTCAGTTCTGTCTCATATTGCCGCAATTTTATATTCCAAAAATTTCATACCAAATAATAATGTCAAATGAAGAAGCTGTAGTGATTTCATTTTACCTTTTTTATTCATTCACTAATGAAATATGCAGTAGGAAATAAGAGCGCATATTGTTGAATAGCATAAAGCATGAAAGAAAATTGTGATAATGAGTAAATGAGATTTGAAATTGAGAAAAAAGTAAAGAAAGAAGTTTAGGAATATGTTCTTACTTCGGAAGGAAATTGATGACTTTGTAGCAAAATGATGATTGCATTATGAAAGAGCTGTATCAATTTCTTCAATGGCTTTGCTGAAAAAAAATGCAATCTCTTTTGATTTCCAATAAATTAACAGCCAATAAATTTCATTCTTATTAAACTCAAGCGGATTTTCAGAAGACTGAACCATTTTACTGCTAAATGATCATTTTATTAAATGAAATTTGTTGTATTCATAACATTAATGATATATCATGTTAAAGAAATTAAAAACGAAAGCGTCGGAATAAATGTTTAAAGAGAAATATCTCGAGCATCTGTAAGCCCATGATAGCAACAAGAATGAGAGATTTTCCAATTCCTACTTTAAGAAACTTTTTAGTTATGGATTTCCATTCTTTCATATTATCAATATGAAAAGATAGAAATCCATTTGTATTATACAACTTTTTTTATCCTCATATTAATGCTTATTCAAAAACTTTATTCAGTCTTCCTTTAAGAATGCATTGCAAAATTTCTTCCAATGCCTCTTTAATTAAAGTGCATTAAACCTTCAGATGAATATTACAACTTCTGCTATCATCTTGTCAGAGGTTGATATTTTACTGACGCCGATTTGAAAGGCTTGTTACAGTAATGAAGTTATACTAGGCTTCTCATTTAATAATCTTAAGTTTTAAGTATACATTCAAATTCTATTTTCGAAATTACACAAAATTCTAACTTCAACATTTGATATTCTTGCTTCTTAACAAGATTTTCAAAAACTCAATTTCATTTCCAAATTTGATTTTTGTACAGTTTAAAAAAGAATGCATGGAAATAAGAACAAAGAAGAAACAGTGGCATTGATTATTTTCGGTGTCTCAATCTTAATTCGGCACATTTAATTTTCTTGAGATTTATTTTCTCCAAATTTTATGTGTTAATACATCAACCATGCGTTGAAAATGATTTACAAATCTTCTGCTCTAAAAATTCCTTTCGAATTATCCAACTTTCTTTGATTGATGGCTTTATCTTCTTTTTTGTAACCGCTTTCTAGAATTCGCTCCCAAATGATCTGCCAGAATTTGTTAGCTGCTGTAATGCTACGTTCAGTATTATTTTTAATTTCATCACTAAATCTTTAACTCTTTTGTAATTTTAATATGAACTTAATAAAAATACCATACGTCTTTACTTTTCTGATTCTGGTAACACAAACTTAAATGCCTGGTACTTTTTTCTTTTAGTTTGACTTCAAATATTTTATAATTGCTTACATGATGACTAATTTGATTCATATTGATGATTACTGATTCCATTCTTTATAGATGGGTACCCGAGAAATGAGAAAAATACCCCGTACATTCTCCATCAATCATTTCCTCTATTCATCATTTACGTTGGTGTAAAGAAAAAGTTTTGAATAGCAGTAAATCATTAATATCTCTTCATTTTTTTTATATTTCAATCTTCTCATTACAACTTAGTAATCTTCCGTCAAATTTTGCAATAAAAGGTTAAAATTTCCTATGGCAATTAATAATCATTAACAAAATACAAGGAGAGAAATGCATGCAAAAAGGATATACAAAATAAATATATTTATTTACGAATGCCTCCTACTATCGATGAACAAATTTTAACAGCGCAAGAAGTGCGGCTATTTTTGTGCCAATTTATGTTTTGTTGTGAAGTTGTCATACAATTAGCATATTTTATATTCTAAACTTTATTTAGACAATTTACAATATCAAATTTTTATTGCAATTGCAGCTCTTAAGTCTCCTTTAAATTTTAATATTTTAAGAGGAAAAAAAAACATTTAACGGAAATTTCCGTTGTAGTATATATTCACAGTTATTACGAATGAATCAATGCAGCTATATTTATTGATTATATCTGATGACATTATTACATTCAAGAAGCGATTTTTCATTTTCTATCGCTGAGTTCAAATCATTCATATACCCATAACTGGTTTTTGAATTTAATATTAACATTAGTTGATATTTTAATTAATATTAACATTAGTTGATATTTTAATGAGGGAAGCTGGAATGTACTAATCTATGTTAAATCTTATCAATTCCAGTCCATGACACCTGTGTATTTCAATGAGTGACAGATAATAGTGATGCTTTTAATAAACTGATAATATTTTGTTGCTCTATATAAAACTGTTTCGTACAGTTTACAATAATTTCTTTTTCCACTTTATTATTAATTGACAAAATTTTGACTAGTTGTGAACTTGATTCTTTTGAATGAATTTTTTTAGCAATTACTAAATAAGTAACACTTTTAACTCAAATATAAAAGTTAAAATTTTCTTCTCTCTTAATGTTTCTACTAATTAATTACTTATTTATTACATCACTTAATGTAATAATCCCTTTAATGTTTCGACTTAATTGTATCACATTCTGGTGACAGTGATGTGTTTCTGCTGAATTACACACATTCAACATTTCCGGTACTATTTAAAAAGGGAGTGTTGTTTTCATTCACTTTGTCAAATGATTCTCGCAATCGCTTTGGTTAAATTTAATTAAAGTGCATGTTACACTATTCAGATCATTCACTGACATTCCACAATAAAATAATTTTAATAATTTTAAATCCTGAATTAACTGGTAGGAGCATATCAAGAAATATGTGAGATTTGATGGATAATATTATCAATTATTCTCGTTTAAACTTCAGGCGTATTTAGTCTCATGAAGTCACTGAGCATTTCTTTTTCATTGTACTCTTTCTTAAATTGTTTATAGCAATGAATTTTTTTTAGTTTTATGCTATAAAATCTTGAATTACCACAAAAAATTTCAGAACAAAATAAGGAAATGCTTCTAGATGACTGGAAATTTTGAATGCTTCACTGCTTGAATATATCAAAATTACTGTCCAATTTATTCGTTAAAACTTTTTTCAATTATTTTCAAAAGCATATTGAGTTGCAAATGTGATCACTCTTTCGGAAAGGGCATTTAATTGGTCAAATTGACCGATAATCTTTTTTTCTTTTCCTTTTTCTTCTCTTACAATTATTAAAGGATTTCTCATTTTTGACATGTCAATCTCTTTTTTCAACTTCAACTTTTTTGCTATTTTTAAAAGTTTAACATGAAAGCACATTTTTCTGATTTTTCGCGCACGAAGGCTTTTTCTTTCAGCATGCATCTGGATTGGATGAAGGAACAAAATACTGAAAGCCTATCCCTTGCAATATATTGGTACCTTCTGAATTCTTGCAAAGTATCATAAAAATATTGGAGGTGATAATTTTCCGATTCATTGAATTTATTCTTTTTGATTTTTTTTCGAGTAATACTTTATTTTCCTGTCAGTTTTTTCAGCAAAATCCGTTTAAAGAGAAATGTGCTGAGCAAGTTCCAATGACTGATTGCACTTCAACAACTAAAAAATCATACAAATTTTTACCAAATATTCTCAAGCAATGATAACTTATCATTCTTTTGTTGAATGAAAAACATTTGGAAGAAAAACAGTACTGACTTTTTATTACCGTTTTGATAGATGTCAAAACATTTTTCTGATAACAAAATTGTCCATTAGTATTCTTTAAAAGTTTTAGACTGTCATTATGAGCTCTCTCATCAGTTTGCAACTATTTCTTAAAAAAGATTTTTTCCTTGCTTGGTTTCTTCCAATCCTTTCGAAATGCTTCATTGATTATTAGTTTTTAGAGGTCACGCTATCAATTTGTTAATTTTATTTTACTGTCCGAAAACATTATTCTCCAACTCTTACAAAATCTTCGCAGCATTTACATTATAAAAGTGGATAATTCGATTCCAAATTGGATTCAAATGAATGTATTTACAATGGTTTATGTGTGTGCATGTGTGTGTGTGTGTGTGTGTGTGTGTGTGTGTCGTAAATAATTTGAATATTATCTCGAAATGGAGAATCTGTAGAAGTATACCTCTTATTAAATTTCACTGAATGATTTTGCAAGTTGTAATTTCTTGGTCAAGCTCTTATCTATTCATTAATAACTGCATTTAACTGAATGTTTAATTATTTAATAAAATTGCAATAATTAGAAAGAATTCATTTAGCTGCAGCGCTGAGAGTTTGAATCCCTTTTTCCGCATTTATAATTAAATTTGCTGACAATTTGCTTTTTCAAAATATCAATCTGATAGTTAAAGGTCATCTGATAGTAAAGATTAGTGAAGAAAATTAGAATACAGCAATAAAATAAATGTGAATGAAGATTTGAGCCATCTATGTAAACTAATTCAACAATTTCGGAAATCCCCAAATGAAATCATACTTCGGGGAGAATTTATAAATGAAGATGAGTAAAAGTAATATTTGATTGTTGAGAGCTTTGGCGCATGAATGAATTTTGAAAAATCGCTATGAAATTTGATTTGTTTGAATAGCCTTTTCTGAGTCGGACAATTACTTGAGACTTGAATGATTTTCACAGCAAAATATGCATATTATTCATTATAAAATCCATTTTCGATTTATCCAATAATTTCATTTTCTTCTCTATGCGTTACACAGACCTCAGTCCTCTACCGCTTCGCATCTTAATTATTTCTTTCCTGTTCAATTATGTGCCATAGATAATGCTATCTTAGATTAAATCTTTATAAGTAATTACAGAATATCAAATTATTAGAAATTTCTAAACTTCCAAGACTTCATTCAGCTAAATTTTTCAAATCAATCTTTATAGCATTTTCATTATTATTTTTTCTAAAAAATCAGCTAAAACTTCAAAAATTATTATTATGGTTTGTTTTACCAACAAGATCATTTAAAGTATTAGATTAGAAGATCAAATAATTCACTGTTTGATTCATTTCAGTTATGAAAAGAAGCTGATAACATTTTTATTCGTGACGGCAAAAGTCATAGATGGCCTGAATAAATCTGATATCATCCCAATTGACAGCTTTGTAAAAAAAAAGATGGCAGGCAATGAATCGTTTTTTATTTAATCCTTTTTCTCAGATTTTTGAAAAAATTTTTCATTCTGAAATCACTGAGAAAATGAAATGAAATGCTTAATGGATACAATGCCGAGAATAGAATTTAACTGCTGTTAAATTCTATTGAATAGAGAGAAATTGTGAATAATATCAAATTTTTACTTCTCACTAACTGAAATCATAAAAAGTTTAAATTTCGTAACTGTGGAAAACGAAGAAAGAATATGATGCTTGTGAGTGCGGACAGGAAGTGGAGAAGAAATGTCCTGATTTGTTGAAATATTTGAAAGAATGAATGGGAAAGTTTCGTGCGGCTATGGTTATGTACAATAATTTTTTCACTTAATGTGTTTCTTCTCAAAAAGTCACAAAATTTTTGTCATCGTTTTTCAGATATGGCATTAATGTTCTAACAATTCCTTTTTCCATTACAATTTATAGCGATATGACCTAACCCGATCGACAATCGACGGACATTTTCTTTGTTTCTCTCATTCGTTTTACTCTTCTTGGTTGGATGATGTCCATTTTTTCCGTTCAAAATCCTTTCGCTAATATCACTTTCTTTCGTAATTTTCTAAAAGCCTCATATCTCCTCATATCAAAAAAAAAAAAATTATTTCAGTAAAAAAACTAATATGAAGAAATTCTCTCCAAGATTTTATGTTGAAATTTTCACATTTATTTTTCTTAGCTATTTACCGACAAAAGATTTTCAAGAAAACGATATTTTTTACTGATAACATATAACTCGAATGTATTAAAAAATATAGTAAAAAACTTTCTTTTTTTTAAATTTTTGATTTCATTCCGTACTCGAACATCGAAATAATTTTTTTTTAATTTTTCGATTGCATTCATTAAATTAAATAGCAGTTAATGTAAGTGCAAAATCAAACGAGTGATTAAATCTATCTATGACATAGCTAATGCTACCGTGAAATTCAAATGCTTATAAAAGTATTTTAAAGTTAATATACTCAATCAATCAGGTTTCGCAGTTTTCAATTATAGGCACATTGCATAGAACTAATAGTTTTCCATATTTATTTATAAGTTTGCAGTTTGCGATGTTTCTGAATTATCTGAAATATTGCGACAAACTCACGTCAGCTTGTTGAAGGACAAATATAGAAATTAAAGTTTGTCTGCATTTTTGTTATTGATGATCTGCCATACAGGTTTTTGGGAAAATTACAAATGAATTATCTTACCTTACCCGTACTGATGAATCTTCTTATAAAGCTTTCTTTCATTTGAAATTTATTCATTTCTTGCATTCTCAATTCTCAATGTTATTTGAATTGCCTCTTCATTTTTTTCCAACGTAACTGTTGAAAATCTTTCAACCATACAAATGATTTATGGAAAATTTCATTAAATTTTTGAAAAAAAAGGAACTAACAAAATTATTATGAAAAACTAACATTTCACAGTGGAATGCTATTATATATTTCTTTTCCTCTCTCTTTTTTCTTTTCCTTTTTTTGTTATTGGTGTCTATTCATTTTTCTGAAAAATTAACATTTGCAAAAAGCCGATCCATTTTGCCGTTGGCTATTAGGAAGTTCGTGTTTTAAATTAAAGGCTAAATAATCATTCAAACAGGCCTCACGAAACTGGAATAGCAACATAATATCTTTCGAATCACAAGATTAAATCATAGGCGAATTTAAAATAACTTTTCAAAATGAATTTAATCCATAGCTTAAAAACTATTTTTTCATCGTAGGTATGTTAAAATTCTGACCATTTATCTTTTCGTCCCTCTTTTTCTTTTTTATTAAAACTTTTCTTTTCGATGTACTTTTCAATATATGAAAAGATAAACTCATAATTTCTTAAATTGCCAATTGAGAGACGCATATCACTTTTGTAGTTGCTAATACAAGTTACTTGCAATTCTTGCGTAGCTTGAGCACAAGCTTGTCGAAATATGAAAAAATGGAAAAAATCAATTTTGAATTATGAATTTGCTAATAAATTGTGCTATGTCTGAAAAATTTATTTCGTAAAATGATCATTCAGACTAAACAATGCTAATTTTCGTTGTTTTAATTTTGATTATTTTGCAAAATCAAACTTTCAAAAAAATTGTCGGAAAAAACTCCTCACCGTGTATTACAACAAATGAAATGGACTAGATCAACTAATTATTATATTGATTATTTTAAAACTGTAAGACGTTAATATATCTGTCATTAAAAACATTGAAAACTGATGTTCAAAATAACAAAACAGCACGATTAGATTAATTATATTTCCATAATTAATTGTTCAAATGGTTAGAAAAAAGAGTTTTTAAAATTGAATTGCTCGGACAATCGTTACGCAATTGAGGCAATCTCTTAATGAATTATAGCAACACAAAGAAATCATATGACAAAAAATTAAATTTAACAATGACAAAACTGTGAAATGCAGCTTCCTCAGCTTAACTGTCAAAATAAATTTATATATTTTACTGAGGAATATTTCTTATGAATTTAATTTTGCAATTTTATATTATTGATTAATTTCGAATTTGCAACGGCAATGTTTTGAGGGAATATAGTTTATGTAAATTAACAATGAAATAAATGGCTGATAGTTATCATATTTTCAGAATGGAACAATGCCGTTTTTGTATTATTCTCTTTTTTCTCTCTTTCGGTGGTTCGGATTCCCAAAATTCGTAAGTTTATGATATTTTATGTTGGCAAAAAGAAGGAAAGAAAGAAAAGGAAGAGGGTGGGCGAACAAAGTTCAGACAGATTATGGAAAAAAGAAAAAAGGAATTAGTGAAATTGCTCATAAAAAAACTACACAATGCATCATTGCAGCATTGCTGGAAACGAAATCGACTTTGATAAGCAAAAGGTTGTAAGTAAGTAATGTTTGTATTTTGAGATATTGAATTTCTTAAAGACGTTAATTTAAACTTAAAATTTCCCTCTTTTACTGTTCTTAAAATAAATCACTTTTAATATTTCATTAAAAGAACTATTCCAACTATCGTCATAATTTAAAAATAAAGAATTGAACTGAAAGTTATAAATTTTTGCGCCAGAAATTTGAATCACTTAGAAGCTCGATTATGGGCATTTTAATTGATAATTAAATAAGAGTAAAAATAATATTTAATGTACATTTCACTAATTTACAAAGATACTTTAATGCTTTAAATAAAATCTGTCATCAAAGATTATGCGATAAAACGACAATTTTAAGCATTAGATAGTGAAAATATTTGAACTAATTTGCAATTTCCAATAAAACTTCACTATTTCGCTACGGAATAGATTTAAAAAGAATACCATCCATGTCTCATCTAAACTAATAAATCTCGACTATGTTTTGATATTTTAAGTTCAGTTATAATTTATTTTCAGCACTAGGACCGCCGCGACGTGGTTTGCAACGGGCGGTTTTCGACGAAGTATCAGATGACAATAACGGGTTAGCTGGTCCGTTTTTTTTTTTGCATTAGAGAAACCATCCGAATTTTGATTTGTTCTGTGTTCTGCGTTTATAAATGAGCCCTTTTGCAGTTTATAAATGAAATTAATTCTTCGTTTTTTTTGGAACAAAGTTTTCCAGCCTAATTAAACCAATAACCGATATGTGAATGTTGATTTAATATAGCTGATTTATATCATCAATTATATTAAATCATTTTTTTACTTAGATTTTTATGAAGTTTAGTTTTGCTTTAGCTTTCTTCCTCTTTTACAAGCTTTATTCAACAAATCGAGGAGCTCTTTAACACCTAAAGTTATGATGATAACTATCACTTGTAGGAGAATTCACACAAGTGAGGAATGACATCGACGCATATGATGACAAATTTGTGGATTTACGAGGCGGTAAGTGATCGATTGATCATAAAAGTGCAGCATTTCTTCCCATTTATGATTCTCTTTTCCTTTCATCTGTTAACGTGAAATGTGACCGAATTCAAAGAAATCATTTTTATCTTTCAGAAGAATGTTTAGAAAATTTCCTGTTCCTTTTGGTATTTGATTTTAAGAAAAATTTTTTGGATTCATTGGTAGAATGTATTATAATATTAAAAGACTGTAAGAAGAATATTCATTTTTGGATTTAATTTTTCCAGAGGATCCATTGTTTATACCAAAGCCATACCGGCAGGAGCAGAAGATAGCAAAAGTGTCCACATCAGTAGCAGGAAGAGATAGATCACATATCATTGGCTCTTCTATATCATTAACGACACCTTCACGGATAGCCACAAGTCCGGTGAAATTCAATGGTCGAACTTCAACACCTGTCAAATGGATTGTGTATGTTATTCAAATTATAGCAGTTACAAAGGCATAGAAATGATTCTAATTTTGGCTTCGATCACTGTTATTTCAGTGCAACTCGTCTATTTCAGTTCTGCAATTTTGGAATGCTAAACTAAATTCTCTTTGCAAATTTCTCCAAAAATTTTCATTTTTTATCATTTTGATGGCTTATTTTTGCAAAACTTGTCCGACAATAGTTCAGTTCGTAAATTAGAAATAATCAGCTATTGCTAAGAATTAAAATCTCCAAAACTTTAATCTAAGCTTTACTTTTATATTATAAAGATTATCATATACAAATATTGCTTTTTCTTATTCTTAATCTTTTTATTTCAGGCAACCGCCGTTGTTTACTCGGGTATGTTTCTGAATTAACAACATTTTGAAATCATCATGTTTGAAAAATTTGGACGACTTTGCTCTCCAAAACTTTAGAATGTTGGAAATATCTTTCATTCATTTAATTTTTATAATTACAATGCTAATTTTAGCCGCCAATCCTACCATCACCACCACAACCTTTTCCACGGAAAGAATTCCCACTGCAGCCGTCACTTCAGCCAGCAAGAATTGTCTCTCAACAACCATTACCAACAATTGCGCCATCCAGGTAAAAGTACTACAAAAGCGTTAGTTTTTCATGAGACTGAAAATTTAAAATGAAATTTGAAAATGCTTGTTTGCTTAATAACTTTTATTTTTATTATCCTTTTCTTTTTTTATGAGTTCAGACGTGTGACAAATCCACAGACGTCCCTGTTGATATCTCGATTGCCTCAGTTTGCGAATCAGCCACAGGTTTGGCGTTTTTGCATTCAATTTAACAATAAATAATTATATTTATCACTTATTCCAAATTTTCCTCCTTACAAATTGCTTTATTTTATTTACTTAACATTTTATTGAAAATATTCGGAATTTAGTTTCAGCCTACGAAAAATCGAATATTTTTTTCGAACATAAAACTTTCTATTAATATCTCATCATTATGTATTAAATTTCAGCTTCACTTCACTACTTTGAGCCATTCCAAGAGCTGAAAATTTATTCGGGGGTCCGAAAATAATTAACAAATAAACCTAACGTTTGATTGATCTTCATTTTGAAGACGGGGATTTTTAAAATCTCGCTTTATCGACATCCCATGATCTATAATTCAGTGAATTAAAATCGAGTTAATTTGAAGCAACTTCGAACCAATTTCATTGCATCGGCATCAGTAACAACATTAGCACATTCGAGAGAAAAAATATTGCCCACACAATCGACCCCACCTAATGTGCGGCCAACACAATCATTATCTCCAGAGAGTAGCCTTCCACCACCCTTCCATTCAAGTTCCAATTCATTAAGAACAGGAGGTCTATTTTTTTAACTCTTTATCATATCTTATTTATTTGATCACTGATTGCATCACTGCCATACTGAATTTGACATAGAGAGAATGAACTGCTAGAAGAGATCACCTGCGAGAACTCTCAAATGTTTCTTCTGAAAATTTGTGGAAAGTTAAGCCGACGATTACCAGCGACACAATTTCTAAGTGAATTTCAGTATGTCATGCATCCATTTTCTACATATCAACACCTATGCAAACCACAAAAAGACATTTCTTTACACATTTCGCGATGACTGTGTCAACCGATCAATGTGCAAGAACCTGTCATGAATTTAATTGTGCCGTAAGTTTCAATAAGATTTTGCAACCTTTTTTTTTGTTGTTTTGAAATCGAGATTTATTAAGGTGAAGAATTGATAAAAAATTTGCGCAGAATTTTAGATAGCACATTATGATCCTGGAACGGGACGCTGCCAATTCAATCCATCGACAGCATTTGCAATACGTAAAGGACAATGTCCTCCGTGGCCTGCCACTCATTACAAGTTTATTTTTCGGAGCAACTATTATAATTATACACTGAAAACTCGATTAAATTTTTTAAACGGGATTTTTTTACCTTATGAATATGCTTTTAAAGAATTTATTTCAGAAGCATATATCTTCATCGTTTCACTTTATTCATTAAGCCTTTAAGAAAATTTTCTTTTACTGCAATGGATATCAGTAAAATGAACAATTTAAGTAAAATTCGATTGTACAGACCTTAGGATAGTCTTCCAAGCAAAACTATGTGGTTATTAGTCTTAAAATAAAATTTTCTATTAAAATTAGTTGTAAATAATTCATGCATTCATTTTTTCGTACCCTTTCATTTTGCTTTCCAATATATTTTTATTTGAACAATATAAAATTACAGAAATGTATTTTCAAATAAAACTATTTAAGATATAACCAAAATTTCTAGTTAAATTTTACAATAGTCATTTATAATAAGGACATTGAATTTGACTTATCATTCAATGCCCACTTTTGATAGGTACTTCTAAAGATAAGCAGCAATCTGAAGGGAAGGGAAGCGAGAAAAATGAAAAATGTTGCGATATTCAAAAAGTGAGGAAATCTACAAAACGATCCATAAATATCGCAATATTTGAGTGCAAAAGGAAATTATTAGAAAAGCGATATCACATATTTAAGATTTTTCCTACGTTAGCTAAAATAATCGTAAGAATATACGTTTTAAAGGTCAACCGAGACGTGCTATTTCAAATGCATTAGTTGACGTCTTAAATTCACGCAGAATAATGGGAAGGATGAATTACGAAATATGTAGGAGAAAATGGAAATAAAATATAAGTAATTCGAAATTAGTCTGAGGAAGATAATTTAGGAGTAACATTCGATTATCTCTTTTTTTTTATAGCATTGTTTTGTTTGGTTTCATAATTTTAGGAATAACGTTCAAATCAATACTCCACTTCGTATATTTTGTGTGCAATGTCATCGAAATTGTAAGTTCGAGCTTCTTTTAAAAAATTTTTTCAACTTTAAAAATTTATCAAGGAACTGTTTTTTAACGAAGCAATTTGGAGAAAAGTAATATTTATTTCTGTTAAAAATATCTATAAATAGCAATTATTAGTTGTTCTCTTTATCATCATCATCTTTAGCTCGAAGAAGGAGAGTTGGCAAGCAAGGAAATCGTTTCAGAACGGCTGTCTTGAGGACTATCTACACTGGGAGGTATGTCGATTTTTTGCTCAATTATTTAGCAAAAAAAAATTTTGAGTTCAATTGGAATAATTAACTCAAAATTATGCTTAAATAATTGAACTAGATAACTGTTTATAAATTGAACTGTTTGAGATTTACATCTGCTTGTTCTATTTTGCATATCAAATATTCCAATAAAATCTTTCCTTCATATCATTTCAAGCATTACATGCTTATAAGAATCCTTCAGAGTGCCGAATTTACTACAAGGCAGTGGACTTGGGAGGATGCATTCAGTACTCTCAAGGCAACCGGATGTCATTATTGAATCATCATTTCGTAATATCACTTCGAAACTTGAAAAACAACATGAGCAAACTGTATCAGATAACAATAATAATCAAAGGTTTATCAGTGGCAATGATTATCAGTGGGATAAGAATGGAACAGAAATGGAAGCAGAAAATGTGGCCAACGATAATGTCGAGAAACAGCTAGAAAACGGTGAGCATATTACACTCATTACTGAAAATTAATACACAGTTTTTTCTTATAACCAGGAATAGTTGGGTATTTTTCGAGAGTAATAATTTTCCCAAAATTCACAATAGTTAAGTTTCATTACAATTCAATTTTTTCTCTTGTTTATTTTTAATCACAACGATCTTTTTACAATCATGATTTTTTATCACAATTGTGGTCGTAAATTTTAGCATTTACAAAGCGCAATTCAAGAAAGATCATAAATTGCACTTTTTTGCTTTAAAATGAGCAGTTTCCAGTTTGTTTTTTTTTTGTTTTTTTTCATATGTCAATTTCTTTTACTGAAATATTTTTTCACTCCATTAAAACTGGAATTATGACGATTTTCTTGAATCAAAGTATTGATGGGATAGAAGAATGTATTTCGCCTTCAATGAATTTCGTGAATACATTAATTTTGTGACTGAAAAAATAGCTTTTTTTAATTCAATAGGAAAAATGAATGATGAAATGACTATAAATGGTAATTGAATTCCTATAAAAAGCTATTATACAAACAATGTTATAATTCATTCTTCATATAATTCGTTTTTCTTTTTTATGCAGTAAATTGCTAAAAACATAAAGTATGACAATTTTTCTTACTTTTGAACAAAAAGAATAGGGAACCACTTAGTATTAGTAAAAAAGCAATTTTCATTGGCGAGAACTTCATTAATTTTCATTTTACTGAATAAAATTCAATAAAACTTGAAATTCCCCTCATTTTGATTTTTCAAAAACTATAAATTGCAGAATAGCTGGATTAGCTAGAAGGAATGGAAAGATCCACTGAATGATCGAAACGATGTTAGCGGAATGAATCCTAAGAATGGCTATTTACTCGAAGGTTTTTAATGCACCGTTATTTTGGAACTAAAACGAAGCATTCAGTAACATAATTTTTGTTTTATATTGTGTGGGAAAAAACGACATTGTTATCATTTTTAAAGATAGTATCAATTCAATCAATTAATCCTATCTGAATATTTGAAATAAGAACCTGATTTAAAATTTTAATACACGCAAAAGTACCGCGAAGATTTACAAGAAAAAATTTTTATAAATTACTCTTTTATTGACGTTATACTCATTTTAAAATTTATTGTCGAAAAAGGCTCGATTATCTCAATGATATTTTATTCTTTTCATTGAATTGATTGTGGTTTTTTCATCATATCAGCACTGCTTTACTTTTTTTTCTTTGTTGCATTTAAATCAAAATTTTAGAACTATTTAAATTAGTTAAATTTATGTATGGATATTTATGTGATTAAATGCACAAAAACTTCTGCCTTCATGATTTTAATCGTTGCAATTATTATATAGGTGGTGACCAAAGTTATTAAAACAGTAGCTTTCTAAATGAATATTGAAAAAATTTCACATATTCGCAGCCTTTCTGGTTTTCTCAAATTCAATCATATTTATCAAATGAATCGTATATATCAAGTTTCTAATCCATCAGCATCGCTGCTTTGTGGATGATTTATTTTTATTGTCGAATATTTGATTGTTATTATTTGTTATTGAAACTCCTAATGACACCGTTCGAATTTGCAGCATTTGCATACTGAATTCCCAATTCCTTTCTGCAATTTAAACGAATGAAATAAATTTTCCCAATTTGAATTATTATTGTAATTGGAGAGAAATAGAAATCGCTCATTCTTCATATATTAAAGTCATACTTTGTGGGAATTCTCGCGCTAATATACTGATAATCTTTTCAAGCAGAAGAAATTCGGAAGATGTGCAGTACATTTTTTTTGAATGAATTTCCTATAATTTCCTGTATTTATTTTTTGAAATATTTGCGAGAAGAATAAGGCAGGGAAGATTGCACAACGATGTGAATGATTTGAAAGCTTGAAATATAGCATTACAACAGATTCCGAAATAGTGAAATTTTGTTCGATCTCATCACCATTCAGTGCATGGCAGCAATTATTTTTAGAATTCTTTTGCACCATCATTCTTCTTTTACCTTTTAGATTTATCTCTCCTTTAAAATTTTGAAAAAAGTTTTTCCTAAAGAAAAACTTCGGAATATAAAAAACAGAACTTGTAACTGTCCAGTGTTAAAAGTGACGCAATTCATTGAAATTATTGTCAATTTTATGCCATTTTTCCATTGTTTAAAAAATGGTACGACCAAAGTTTTTCTTACGCACGCTAAATAATATTTCTCAAATTTTCAATAATTAATTTCTCTTCGACTCTGTTGCACTACGAAAAACTTGATAAACTAACTGTTGGTTGCTTTTCAAAATTAAATATTTTACACACTCGGTTTAAATTGATGTCAATATAATTCATTAAAATTTAATTCAAATAATTTACTGGCATCCGGGATAACTTCATCCTAGTAACCAATATTTCCATAATGCGTCACAATGACCAAAAACTAATAAAATAGCAAACCGCATGGCAACCGTGGGTTTGCATTGCATATGGTTTGCTAAAATTTTTTTGTGGCTTCTGTGCAACACTGCAGTGTGCAGTGTGCAGTGTGCAGTTTTAGTTGAAGCATAACGAATATAAATTTGCTTTTTATGATTCCAATGAGATTTCGTCTTCCCCAGCGAAAAATTTGGTAATGCTGCGGATCGATATCGATACAAGGAAGGTGCAGCCCTTTTCAACTTGCAAACGCCAAGTGATTGCATTTTAAAAGTACTTTTCTGTAATGAACAAAAATTTATAAAATTGTTAATTATAAAATTGTTAAATAAAATTAATATAATGTGCAAAGAATTTTAAAGATATCAGAAATTAGTAAATATCCAATTTGAAAAGAACTCGAAATAACACACTTTTATACTGCAAAGTTATTATCCTTTCTATTTTTTTGTAACGGATGTGAATAACAACAGAACAGAACATTTATGAAATTTTCACTTCTTTATGATTTCACTCATTGATTTGCTTCTGTTTATTTCTGAACAAAAACACTTTTCAGCTCATATTTTTATTGCAAACCGCGATCGACTTTATTCGAAGTTGTACTTTGAAAATCTTGTGCATTGAAAATGAAGCAAACAATTTTTTGCTTTTCTAAATTGCCATTATTCATTGAATTTATCATTGAAGTTAGCATCATATCAGTTGAATTAATACAAATATATAGTAATAATGGATGCATTTTATTGAAAATCTTTGTTTAACAGTTGTATCGTTTTTGCTGTCGAGAAAGGAGATTTGTGCTTATTAGCTTCAATTGAGTATATTTGGCTTTTCACAATATTCAACCATATCATTTTTTTTTTAATAAAAAAAATTAAGTTTCAGCGTTAAAATAATGTGAAACAAAAACAAAAAGCCAGCACCATTTATCATTTTTAGGATTGATAACGCATACTGTCATACATACAATAAGCGCTGTGCATACAACATAATCGTGCATCTCACAAAATTATCACTCATTTAAAATCGATCAGTTTAATTATTAATAAGACACGCGCATTTTACTCAATTTTCCATTTTCTTTCATTCATGTACAGCAATCTTAATCGATAGTTTTTATGAACTTTATATGATCCGTTTTTTTTTGCAGTGAATTGTATGCCACAGATACGTTTAATTTTCAAGAATTATCTCTGAATTGTTTTGCAGTTGTTAATATCTTACAATGCACCGAAAAAATCCCTCATTTTTTATTGTCAACCAAACATATCAAAGAAATGAAAACAACGCTGCACAGATGAAAAAGAATAAAAATTGAAAAATTAGCATCCAAATATACAACTTTGTTTATGCATGAATATGTATTGTTTGAAATTTCATACAATTTCTTATTTTCTTAAAAATGTCAACGCTGCCTTTTTCATAATCTCTAATGATAACAAAGCAAATCAAAGATAAATTGAAGAGAATATTTTGAAATGAAAAGATTGTGGAAGAGAAGCCAAGCCAATTGATGTATGTGACATATAACACAAAAAGGGGTCATATAAAGTTTGTAAAAAATTGTCGATTAGGATTACAATAAACTTCAGTGAAAGAAAATAGAAAATTGAGCAAAGTGCACTTGTCTTATTAATTATCAAAAACTAATCGGTTTTAAATGAGTGATAAATTTTGCACGATTATGTCATGTTTACAGTGTTTGTTGTATATATGTGTGTATACGTTATCAGTCCGAAAAGTGATAAGCGGTGCCGACTTTCTCTTTTTACATAATTTACAGCGCTGCAGCTTAAACTTTTTGCTATTAAAAAGAATGATATGGTTGATTATTAGTGAATAGCCAAATGATACCCCCAATTGAAGCTAATAAGCATAAACTGTTGATTGGCTCCTTTTTGCACAACAAAAGCGATACAATTTTCAAAATTATTACAAAGATTTCTAATAAGCTGCATAAATTATTATTGTATATTACTGAATATTTGTATCACTTCAACTGATGTGATATTAACACTGATAATATACTAATGATAGTAATAATGAAGCAATGATAATAAGAATAAATAAGATAAATGACAGCTTCATTTTTATCAACAATTAAATAAATTTTTCAAAAGAAGACTTTTACTGAAAAAGATATTACTAAGCGTTACAATGATATTTTATTTAATCAAACAATATATTAAAGTCTTTACTTACTACTATCAGGGACTTGAAAGAATTAAGAAAGAAATACAAAACTTCCACGGCCTTCATCCATTCCTACTTTTTACCAACTTTTGAATTTAAATTTGGAAATGTGTAGGAGTTTATAATCTTTGTTTTTTATAGCA